TTAGGGTTCACTGGTTCAGATCCTGGGCGCAGACCTACATACCACTCACCAAGCTGTGCTGTGGTGGCATCCCACATAGAAGAACTAGAAAGACTTACAACTGGGATATACAACTACGTACTGGGACTTGGGAGAGAGAGAGAAAAAAAAGAGGAAGGTTGGCAACAGATGTTAGCTCAGGGCCAATCTTCCTCACCAAAACCAAAACCAAATACTACAATGAGATATCACCTTCCACTGGTCAGAATGGCTATAATTACTGAGACAAAAAATAACAAACGTTGGGGAGGATGTGGAGAGAAGGGAACCCTCATACCCTGCTGGTGGCAGTGTAAACTGGTGCAGCCGCTATGGAAAACAGTATGGAGATTTTTCAAAAAATTAAAAATAGAAATACCATATGACCCAGCCATCCCACTACTGGGTATTTATCCACAGAACTTGAAATCAACAATTCAGAGCCTCAAGCACCCCTATGTTCATTGCAGCACTATTCACAATAGCCCGGACGTGGAAGCAACCCAAGTGCCCATTGATTGATGATTGGATAGAGAAGATGTGGCATACATATACAACGGAATACTACTCAGCCATAAAAAAGACAAAATTGTCCTATTTGCAACAACATGGATGGACCTTGAGGGTATGATGATAAGTGAAATCAGCCAGACAGAGAAAGACAAACACCACCTGATTTCGCTGATATGTGGAAGACAAACGCACACAAGGAAAAGAGAACAGATTAGTGGTTACCAAAGGGGAAGGGGGATGGGGATGGGCAAAAGGGGTAAAGGGGCACATATATATGTCAATGGATAAAAATTAAACTACTGGTGGTGAGCACGATGCAATCTACACAGAAACTGATAAATAATATATACCTGAAATTACACAATGTTATAGACCATTACAACCTCAATAAAATGACTTTTTAAAAAAAGAAGTTCTTTGGGTTATTTTAATGCTTAGCCAGGGTTGAGAGCCACTGGCTTTAGAGGGAGACACGTTTTGCTGTTGTTGGCCTCAGAGAAGGTTTTAGGGATCTGGACCTGGAGTGGGCAACTTATGGCTAAATTAGGCCCACCTTTTAAAGGGTTGTAGAAACAATAAAACAAAGAATATGTGGCAGAGACCATATGTAGACTACAAAGACTAAACTATTTATTATCTGGCTTTTTATAGAAGAGTTTGCCTATGTCTAGACTCAGAGTGGGTAAACATGGTCAGAGTCACTCTCTGCAAAGAAAAATCAGGCCTGATCCTTGATTGCTAGGGACTTGAGCGTCTCTGGAATTACTGAGGTTTTTTGGTTGTGGTGATAATGTTATTTCAGTAAAACAAAATGATCAGGGCTGATGTTTGATAAGGAAAACCCGAGAACAATCATTTGAATAAACACGTATTTTCAAATATATTCAGTCATAATCATATGTGGTGCGTGATGTCTTTACTCCGGAGTTGAAGTTAATTTCAAAAGCTGACCTTCCTGAATCCCTTTTAAAGCTCTGGCTTTTGGGACTTTAAGCACCTGCAGGGGTGGACTGTCCACTCAAGTGTCAGCTTCCGTAGGGTGGAATGAAGTTTTATGTTTGCGTGTGTGTTGGTTTATCTAAATTTTGTCACTTATTTATTGTCTTACCCTCAGCTGGGCGTTCTTTGATCAATTCAATTCTGACGATAATCCCTGGGAGCTGGCATCAGACTGTCGGTTTAAAGGGCTTAGTCCCCTACAGGACGGTGATGAAAAGAAGTTTTCATGTATTGAGTTTCACAGGGAAGCCATTCTGGTTTAAATCTGATTCAGCCTAAAAGTTGTTTTTCCCAGAGCAGCCAGACTTATGGTCCACCAAACACGCATCTTACATCTGCTTCAAACCTTTTCCCAAAGCAAAGAAGGCACTCTTGAAAGAGGGATGAATGGCTCCCTTTCTCTGATGCCCATACCAGCACTTCTTTGAAGATAAGCTTTTCTTCCCAGAGAACCAAGGTCTCAGGTTGACCTGCTGTGTATGTGCTAAACTGCGGCAAAACAACTTGTGACTTTGGAAAAAAAATTGTATTCCTGACATGCTTGATGTGTGTTCTTTGTTCTGAAACGGTATATAACCACACTATAAACCACGCTTCCCCAGAGGGCTTTCTTCCCCGGGGAAGGGAGACCTTCCGGGCCAGTCCTCACGTTAGCTCATTAAGTAAATATCTTTCTTACTGATGGATTGGTTATTGATTATTTGCATTGACAACTGCTCTTACTTCAGAAGCCAGTCCAAGTGAGGTCCTCAGCCCACCCACACTTCTGACTGGCTATATAATCGAGGGTTCCCACGGCCTCAAGTTGGAGAGTTCTCTAGAACCATTCACAGAACTCAGGAAAGCGCCACTCCGTTCACTACTACAGTTTTGTTATAAAGGATATGCACAGGGTGGGCGAGTTCTGGGAGGAAGCACAGAGTTCCCGTGCTGCCTCCCTGTGGAGTCACGGCATGTCACCCTGCCAGCACACCTCTGTGTTCTCCAGCCAGGAAGCTCTATGCAACCTTGGTGTCCAGTCCTTGCTGGGACTTCACTACATAGGATTGGTGGATTAAATTGTTGTCCACATGACTGTGATTGAATTCAGTCTCCAGCCCCCCTCGCCTGTCCCCCACTGTCCTCCCAGGAGGTTGGGCTGGCCCAAGGTTCCAACCATATAATCACCACCCCAGCATTGGTCTTCCTGGTGACCGGCTCCACTCTGAAGCTATCTAAGGGCCCCACCCAGAGTCTCCTTATTAGCATAACAAAGACTTCCATCACTCAGGAAATTACAAGGGTTTTTGAAGCTGTGTGCCAGAAAGCAGGGATGAGGACCAGATATTTTATCATACCACATTATTTGACCTTGTGTGTTTTAGGGAAGTTCATTTAAACCATGAAGCCTCATTTATTGGAATATCTACTTTTAGTCCATAGGGACTGGAATAGGTCATTTGAACAATAAACTGGCCTTTTGATGATAGAGTTTTGTGAAGACACAGAAAGGTATATTCTTATGGCTTGGGGTTAATGAGTTACTTATTACATTAAGGACTCTCTCAATATGAGAAAAAACAATAATATAGGACTGTCTTTGTTTTTAGGTACAAAATTGGAAAGAACTATGAAAATTAAAGGAAATTAGAAGTTTCTATAATACATACCGTATTCTAGTAGAAAAAATGTAGTACCAGGTTGAGGTAAATTAGATTAATTCTATTACTTAGAATGTGTTCACTGATAAGACTTTTCATTTGTTGGCTAATTAAATATAAATCCCACTTAAATTTACATTCCTCTTAGTGAGATGAATGTTGGTATCAGCCACATGAGAGCAGGCAGGAACTAAGAGGCGGCCAACAGTAGAATCTGTGGGGATGGGCAGTCTCTGGTTTCTACAAACTTCCATTATCTTGTATCCAGTCTTTTGTTTTTTGAGGAAGATTAGCCCTGAGCTAACTGCTGCCAATCCTCCTCTTTTTGATGAGGAAGCCTGGCCGTGAGCTAACATCTGTGCTCATCCACCTCTACTTTATATGTGGGATGCCTACCACAGCATGGTGTGCCAAGTGATGCCATGTCCGCATCGGTGAACCCTGGGCCACAGAGAAGTGGAACGTGTGAACTTAACTGCCGCGCCAGCGGGCCAGCCCCTTGTATCCAGTTTTTAAGCTTTTTTTTCTCTACCCCTGAGTGATCAGTGAAGTTTTAGGAAACAACACAGGCCTGAACTTTGGGAGGGAATCAGAATGGGGAGAGGAGCCAGTAGTGAAATGGTGAGAGCTGACCCTTCGGGCTCTTGAGTTTTCCTGAGGAGGGCTGGCAGAGGTGACTAGACAGCGCCAAGATGGCTTTGCAGAGCAAATTAGCTTCCTTGGAAGGTCACAAAAATCAGTGATGCACTTAGTAGGGATGGGCACTATAAGACTCAGGGTGTCATAAATTCTATTATTAACAGAAATTATACCAATTTTCTTTTTGATTGTTTTTTGTTTTACTGAGGAAGATGAGCCCTGAGGTAACATCTGTGCCAATCTTCCTCCACTCTATATGTGGGCTGCCACCACACCACGGCTGACAAATAGTGTAGGTCCATGCCAGGGATCCTAAACCACGAACGTGGGCTGCCAAAGTGGAGTGCACTGAACCTAACCACTATGCCACGGGGCCAGCCCCAAAAATGATGCCAATTTTTATTGTAAGGACCTCATCAGTTACATTTTGTTAAATTATTTAAGAACTATGAAATTATGTTTTCCTCTAAGAGTCACACCCTTATTTAATGGTAGTTAAATACTAAAAGAGGAGGGAGTCGTTTTGGTCACATTTTGTAATCAGAAAATTGCCAGAGCTGGAAAAAGCAAGAAATAATGATGCTATTGTGGACTATTAAAACATCACATGGTCTAGAAAACAAAAACACAGACCCACAGTGGTGAGAAGAGTGAAGTGAAATAATGCGGGCACCTTCTGCTCTGGCTGGGAATCAAAGTGAGGAAGGGGGAAGAAAAAGGGCAGAAGAGCTGAGCTGGCTCCAGCGTGGGCTCTGGGCCTCGAACCAAAATAGTGGGGACAGGAAAAGCTGGGCAGGGTCTTGGGAACTGCCACCATGGAAACCACTGCTTTGATCAGCAACACCAATGGACAGGTTTCTGGAGCAGAGCCAGTCTCAAGCTACTTGTCCTTCAGAAATGGCTACAGCACAGTTTAATATTTTTCAGACTGTGGGTTATGATCCATTAGTCACTCATGAAAACATCAGCATACATAGTAAGTGAGGATACATATTTTGTGAAACCTTTCTTTTGGTTATATATAGGTCAAAATATATTTCTTACTACAGTTGGAAGCCACAGGTTTATGGAGCTAGGATGACAAGGACTCTCCTCGTCCCCAGTTGCAGCAAACACCTCATATTAATTACAGTGGAGCTAAAATGAAAAAAGAACCAATACTTCAATATCTACCAATAACAGTACCACAGGGAAACTCACATCGTTATATTTAAAATATATAATGTAAATATGGTATTGATAGTATAAAAATTAAAGGCTTATGAAAAACTCAAGAAAGGTCAAAGAGCATACAAGCAAGTAATATACAGATTGTTTCCTTCAAAGATAAATTTTAATATACAGAATAAAATCCAAGATTTTATTTTTCACCTTCCCCCAAATTTGTGCGGAATCAATGCTCTGAATCTGATCAGGAAAGTTTATATTTTGGTCCCATACATTATTAGACTAACTGTAGGATCAAGTCCAGCTTGATTATCATAAATCATAAAGTTAACGGAATTTACTTTGAAAATCTGTTACTTTTGTAGCTGATGGATTTCCAATATTTTCTTAGCTAAGAGTTTACTCAACTTTAGCCTCAGAATCAGATTCAAAATAAAATACCTTCTTTGACAGCTGGTCATCATTTTAGGCTTAATCTAAGCAAATTACTTAATACTTTATTGAAGGCCATACAAAAACTCCACAATAAATAATGAAAAGAGTACACAAAATCATTAGCCTCTGTTTGCAATACAGAAAATACATGTCAGTTCTGGAACAAAATAATTCCATTGTAATACAAAAAGTGACAGGACAGAATGAAAGGACTTGCAGTAACTGCTTTTGGTGGTCAGCTACAACAAGCCAACGACCATCAGCTATTTTGGACAGTGAAGGTGGGTTTTAATTTGCAGATAAAGAATGTCTTCGGTAGTTTAAAAAAATATAAACTCTAAAAAAGCTTGTGAATCATATACAAAAGCAGCTGTTTGAGACCAAGGTTGAAAATCAGAAATTGTGGGTTAGCACCGCCAGCAAGCACAGGTCCTGTGGCCTGTCGCCCTCCTCTCTCGTGCAGAATGCAGACTTGAATGTTATACACATCGCTCACAGGTATCAAAATCGGCCCGGAGGACAGGGTTCCTGCAGGGTAAAGTCCTAAGCCCCAAGAGGCACCACGCGGTTACAAAGGCTAGGCAACCGTCTGGATCACAGGTTCCGACGATATAATAAATCTCGTGTTGCCTTATCAACTTTTTGCTGGTAGTCATCCAGTTTGTCAAGTATTTTCTGGGACAGCTGTAGGAGAAAAGAAGAGAATCCTTACAGAACAGGTCAAGGACTGAAAAAGATTGAAGTTATTAATCACTTTGACTTCACCAACCATATTCCTTCTAATAAGGACGTTAGCCACGCTGCTTCATTTAATCACCGTTCAGTATAGCAGTCTGTCTACTGTGTGATTCAACTGATAAACCTGGACTTCTCTGTTATGCACAATATTCCAATCCTGTTTTCCTAATGAATTTTCTAAATATGCAAATCACACCACTTTTTTTTGCTGAGGAAGATTCGCCCTGAGCTAACATCTATGCCAATCTTTCTCTATTTTGTATGTGGGTTGCCACTACAGCATGGCCACGGATGAACGGTGTAGGTCTGCACCCAGGAACCAAACCTGGGCTGCTGAAGTGGAGTGTGCCAAGCTTAACCATTAGGCCACGGGGCCACCCCCACATCAGTATTTTTAATAAAAGCATTATCAGCTTTCTTCCCAGAACCACAGAGGCTACAACTGATTTAACTAATCATTTTCTAAAGGCATTCAGGCAGCATGTTAAGGGCAATAAATGGCTTCTGTCCTCCCCTTAATCCTCTTAAGAAATGAAGAGCAAGTTTTCAGGTGGAACTACCAGTGCAGGGGCTTATAGGACGCCTCATGAGAGGGTTCACTCACTGCAATGTTGTGACTGTTGGCACTGTTCTCTCCAAGAGCGTGGAGCAGCTGATCAATGGAAGAGTACGGGAGCCACACCATTGGGGCCGTTGCAGACAGTGGAAACTGAAGGGAAGAATACCTATTATTTGAAGACAATCTGAAAAGTGGACCATTTCTTCTGAGTAGTTACTTTTACAGGCCTCGATAACATAAAATGCTTTACCTATTCTTTTCACAATAAGAAACTGTGTGTGCACGCATGTACACACACACAAACTGGAAGCCCCCTGCTTCTCTTTTCAACCGGGGAACTTGTCCTTTTCTCAGTTAAAGCAAATGTGTTTTAAAATTCTTGTCAGCTCTTATCTTAAAGGAGCCCTAAGGCCTATTAAGGATAAACACAAAAAACTCTTCTCTGAATTGTCAACGAGTGACACTATTTCCAGTCTGAGATTTAGATTCAAATTATCTGGGGAAAAAAATTCAGAAAAGGAAGGCTCAACTTTCCAAATTCTGAATACTTTCCTGTGAGTTTAAGAGCTTGGCTCTGTAGTTAGCTAGACCTGGCTTTTAGACTGGCTCTTCTATTTACCATGTGAGCTCTGGCAACTTACTTAACCTCTGAGCCTGTTTCCTCATGGGTAAAAAGAAAGGATTAAAAGAGCTCCTCACAGGCTGCTGGCAGGATTAAAGGAGAAAACACTGGGAGAGACTCAGCACCATTCCTGCACACACCAAATCCCACGTGGTTCTTATTTCCCCCACTCCTGCAGATGCTAACTGAAGCCACATTCCTACGATGGGGAAAAATGAAATGTATTCTCATAAACAAGACACTAGAGACTCAGAAAGTGCCAGTGCCCTGAACTTGGAGAAAACTAGTTGTATAACTCCAAACAGTAAAGGTAAGTCCACTATGCTGCACTTCAATTGACTCTCAGACCCTCACCCTACTTAGTGTGACAATACAGACTCAAAAAGAAATGTGTGCACACACCTACCTCAATTCCGAAGTACTGATGTCCTTTCCCCAACACCGCATCCACGTATTCCGAAACCAAATCTACAGCTTCTTCTAAAAGGTCATAGTTCAAGTAGAGACGGAGCAACTCAGCAGCATCGACCTTCTGTAAAAAGTTGGTGATTAAGAGCATCTAGCTATTTCCATCTTAACTGGGCACTGACTTTACAGAGGATGCTGGGTGTTGAGTCCCTGGCGTTTACACTCCTCAATAAATAAATAAACGAGCGCCTTGGTTACTCCTCTGCATCTTGGGATAAGGGTTGGATTCCCCAGGGCCCAGACACCTCTGAGCACCTTGTGAGGCCCCATCTGTTAAGTGGCCTTACTCTACAGTGTTGTGATCTAAGACACATATTATCTTCTCTCTACTTCAGTTTCCACATTAGTTAAAGTCAACAAAGCTTCCCAGAAATACTGAGTACTAAAGAGACAATATATTTACATTCTCAGATATACATGAACGATAAATGCAAAAGAAATTAAAGAACCACCAATTTTAAATGCCTCGTGTATACATTCATTTACTCGTCATTTATACATTAAATTTGTATTTAATTCAGGGTGAGAGAAAAGTGAATACGGTCTCAGTTTGGAAGGGCTCTGCTAATTATGTCAATTATGCATTCTATATTCAGATTTGATCACAATCTTAACTTTTACCATCTTAGCTGCCTTCTCTGCTTTCTAACTTAAAAAAAAATCAACTCTCCTGATTTTAAGCTTCAGATTCTCTCTTTCCCATCCTACTGTGTCTGAAACAGATACAGCAGTTCTCAAACTTAAGGATGCATCAAATCAAACGAGGAGCTTGTTAAAATACAGATCCTGGATCTTAGCTCCAGATCATTTGATTCTGTAACTCTGGAATAGGGCCCAGGAATCGATATTTTGAGGAAGCCCACTACCCAAATAATTCTGACACATGTGGTCCAATAACCCAGTTTTGATAAGAAGTGACTTAAAGAAACACTGTTGTAGTATCTGAAAACTACTCCACCCACCCCTGTGAATTTTTTGAGTAATGAACAGTAAATACTGTCATGCATATACGCATTGTTCTAAATAAATACTCATTGTTCAGTGAGCATACAAGCAGGCGTTAACTGAATTACTAACCTGTAGAACCGGAAACACTCAGCACTTCATGCAGAATTCAGTTAAATTGTTCTCAGTGTTTTTAGTTAAGATTGAGAAGCTGCTCAAAGCACGTAAGTCAGTATATTTCCATAAATTATCACTCTTTTTCTTTTTAATCATCTCATCAAGTTATCCAGAAGGATAAAGATCAGCTTCTCACTCTCTACAAGTTAAGGTACCACTTACCTTGTAACTGTTTATAAGCCAATTAGGCAGAGGCACTCCATGAGACAAGAGCTTGTTGATTACACAGTGGTGATATAAATTATTCTGGACTTTGTACCTTTCCAGGTAAGTTGATAACAGTCGCCATGCTTCATCTGTAGCACTTGATAAAAGCGAAAAGGACTAATGAGTTCCAGATTCTTAATAGCTATTTATAGTACCATTCAAAGCATGTATACACAAGGAAGAAAATCTTCAGAAGCTCACAACTGAATTGGAAATATAGCTAAATGGCAACTAATATTATTAGGGTCAATGTGACTTGGGCATAGTACCAGAAACTAGATGACTCGGATTCTTGTATTTCTCTCCCACTAACCACATATTTACTTGACTGCTTGACTATACAATTCACATACCTTCTTTGTCCCAGATTTCTAAAACAATGAAATTGGCTCAGATCACTGTTTCCAAATCTGATTAAGCATTAGAAACATGTAATAGTTCTGATTTAGAAAACTAGGGTGATATGTCATAATCTGTATTTTAACAGTGATTCTCGTGGGCTAATTTAGGGGTTGAAAAACACTGTCAAAGGACTTCCAAACTGTAAGATGCGGCAATTCTAAAGTGCTAAGCTGCATTATACAAATTATAAATGCAATTCAAGGAAGGGAAGTTTACCGAGGCTTAGGGTTGTCAGAGAAGGATTCTAAAGAAGACACTGAAGTACATTCAGGTAAACGATTAATGGGGTGCACGAGGGAAGTAGATGGAGACAGGGGATCTGAAGAAGGTCTGGTAGAGAATGGGGGTTTGTGGGTGACAGATTGCTAAACACTAGCCAGAGATGAGCCATAAGAGGACACTGGGATGACAGCCATGACACATCAGCTCAATGGAGGAATGGGGAAAAAGGAATAGCACATCCTAAAATCCAGTAAATACAGACTTTTGCCTGGAAGAGTACCTTTTCTTGTTCTTTTTTTTTATTTTGCTGAGGAAGATTAGCCCTAAACTAACATCTGTGTCAATCTTCGTCCACTTTATATGTGGGTTGCTGGTATAGCATGGCTGATGAGTGGCATGGGTCCCTGCCTGGGATTTGAACCTGAGAACCTGGGCTGCTGAAGCAGAGCACTCTGAACTTAACCACTACACCATGGGGCTGGCCCCAAAGTACCTTTCCTTTTTTTTTTTTAATAAATTGGTATGTTTTTTTTTTTTTTTTTTTTTTTTTTTAAAGATTTTATTTTTTCCTTTTTCTCCCCAAAGCCTCCCGGTACATAGTTGTATATTCTTTGTTGTGGGTCCTTCTAGTTGTGGCATGTGGGACGCTGCCTCAGCGTGGTTTGATGAGCAGTGTCATGTCCGCGCCCAGGATTCGAACCTACGAAACACTGGGCCGCCTGCAGCGGAGCGCGCGAACTTAACCGCTCGGCCACGGGGCCAGCCCCGCAAAGTACCTTTTCTTTTTCTTCTGGTGAGGAAGATTGGCCCTGAGCTAACACCTGTGACAATCTTCCTCCATTTCGTCTGTGCTGCCAAGCATGGCTTGATGAGTGGTGTGAGGGTCCGCACCCAGGATCTGAACCCAAGAACCCCAGGCTGCTGAAGCGGAGTGCACAGAACTTAACCACTACATTACCAGGCCGGCCCCCGACTAGCTTTTCTTAACAATATAATACCACAAGCCTTTCAGGAGGGGAATATGGAGAAGGACGCATTTTCTACTCAAAGATATCCTGGTTTGCACAACAGACTACATGATTTATAAACTCTCTAGCTTCTACAAAAATTTAGCCAAGAAAGACAAGAGTGAAATGATCAGTGGATGAGAATGTAATCAAAGACAGAGCGCTACAGCTTTGGGACAGGCAGACCCTTGCGGGTCGGATGAGCCCTAGGGCTGTACCTGGACTCCTTGGTGGTGATGACTGACGACAGCTGATTGGCTGCCAGCCAGGCCCAGGCTTCCGCTTGTGCTGCCTCCCCTCCCAACTGCAGCTTGATGCACCTGCCATGAAAACGGTTCCACACACAGTCAACGAATTTGCTGAAAAGCACCGCATTATTCTGCTACTGATACTAGAGAGAGAAGTTAACAACTTTAGCTCCAGTCTATTGCTGAATTCACTGCTGGGGTATTGGCTCTCCTCTCCTCACGGCCACACAACTGGACGAGCCACAGGCCATCAATAAGCGTCAAGAGATAATTTACTTCCAAGAGAAAACTGATGATGAAAACTTCTGAAAGCTTAAAGAATATTTTCAATTCACAAATTACTTAGGTCTAAGACAATTTCAGTAAGAAGTACTGTTAAATAATGCTTACAGTGGCCAAAAGATGTCCTAAAGGACTGAAGAGACAGGCCTTGTCTAAAACAGACACCACTATTTAACCCAGGTTATCTACTATCATGTGGAAATGTGGACCCAGGAATGCCAAACCCTCTGATTCCCAAGAGAAGTTACAAGTAGGGATTTAAAAAAAGTTCACAATTCACTTAAAAAAAAAATTATTGTGTGAAGTTAAGAAAACCACTTCTTCAAAGCACAATTGGCTTATAGGATACTGGCTTGTGTGACAACTGCTTCACACTAGGCAATAGTATAGTATTTTTGCATTAGAAAATTAAGACTCTAAGAAAACCCAATTTCATACATACTTGAAAGCAAGGCCCTCAAAGACTGGCGTTAAGGGAAGCTTAAAAGTCTGGCAGAGCGATATGGCAGTGTCAAAAAGGCCAGCTTGAACCAAGAGAGTGACCATCTCCTCTGCTGACGAACTTCCTGTGGAAAGGGAAAAGGGCGATTTAGCGCAACCAACGGTATAAGCCCAAAGACTGCTCTGCTGATGACGGTCTCAGGATAACAAGGACCTGCTTCACACCACCTAGCATGCTGTGTCCACCGTCTGCCCTTAACATGAGCCGCTGGTGCCGACAGAACGCTGAATCCCTACCTGCAACTGCAACCGCTGACGGATCGTGCTGAGCCAAAGTGAGGCGAATGCGGGCCAGGGAACACTCTTTCTCCAGATCTTCCAGTTCCAGGATTTCAATTTGCCTATTTGCTATAAACCAAAGAAAAGTATTTTCAATTCCCAGAGTACAAAGGGAGTCCCTATTAGTTTAATGGAACCTATCCATTTCCACTAAACATTAAGTAACTTTCAATTTAATTTCCAAAGGCATAAAGATGGGAGAAAATGGGTCTCAATAAAGCTAATAAAAAACAAAGCAACATCCCTGCTTCACACATGCAGCGGAATCAAATCCAAGCGCTCTAACAACAGCTGCAGTTGAGGGGGCTTACGAGCGATTTCACGTATGATTGCATTTAACTCTCACAACGGTGAAACACTGTCATCTCTACCAGGAAGAAAAGAACACGCCCGAAGTGAGAGAGGCAGAGTAAAACCAGGCGCGTCCTGGTCTAGAGCCCAGGCTCCCTGGAAGGATATCATGCTTCCACGGTAGGAGAGCCTGGTCAGACAAAAGTTGAGGAGTGAGTGAGTCAAATACACTAAGCAACAGAAACGCACACACTCTTTATTAAACACTTCCATTTCTCATACTGCCATTCAAAGTTGTCAAAGGGCTACCAGACAAGCCTTAGCAGATTCAAATATCGAAAATAAACTAAAAAGAAGGAACTTTACAATATTTTTACAACAGTAAAATATATATATAATATACTACACCATATAACTATACATAATATTATAATGTATCTACTGTATTATATATCTTCTTTTATTAAAAAAATTTTTTTCCATTTATTTTATTTTCTGATGTCCATAATATATTTCAAATTATATATAACTTCTATAACAGTGCATACATAACTACTATATACAATATATATAACTCTCTCTATATATAGAAAAACTACAATAATTTAACAATATAACTACTGTCCAGCAAAGAATCAGCACGACCTCGCTCCCATCCCCTCGCCCCAACTCACTTGGAGCAGCTGTGCATTCTCCGTCATGGTTCCTCTTAGGGGATGCTCCAGGGCGATCATACTGAAAAGACAAAACAAGTGATTTAACTGTGAAACATCAGTACTTTATTTTGATATCACTAACTGTGATCCAGCTTTCATGCTTAAATTCTCTCCACGTAAACTATGTTTGTTTCAACCAGCACAACTCTTCTTACAAAGCACTGTAAAACTATGCGATGAAGAAGGGGAGCTGTTTGCCAAGTTGGCTCACTTATATAACATCTTACTGAGTCCAAGGACACAAGATTTGATCTCCGTATAAACCACCTGACTTTCCTTGGTTCCAGAGTTAATTCTCCATCCATACCCCTGGGAAACAGCCTGGTAAATGCAGGAACAATGCAATAGAAGTAGCTGAGGGTACGTGATCCCATCAGCACGGCAGGCAAAACTCAAAGTGTATGTTCTTTAAAAGAGTAATTATAGATTAACAATTAACAAAAATGAATGATAGAAAAGCAGTTACCACTTACTGAGCACTTTTTGTAGGCCAGGCACTGTCACTGTTCTAAGCAATCTATGTGAATTAACTCATTTAATAGCCAAACAACCCCATAAGGTAGACATTATTATTATCATCATCCCTATTTTATGCAAGAGGATAACTGGACAGCAAAAGATTAAGCAACTTGTCTGAAGTTAGGCCTAACTCCAAAACCACTCTGCAATGCTTCTTTCCTACAATAATTCTCAACTTGAGAACTAAATTGAATTCCTGCAAAAACAGATTAATTTCGGGGGCTGGCCTGGTGGCACAGTGGTTAAGTTCGCACGTTTTGCTTCAGTGACCCAGGGTTCGCCAGCTGGATCCCGGGTGTGGACCTATGCAATGCTCATCAAGCCATGCTGTGGGAGGCGTCCCACATATAAAGTAGAGGAAGATGGGCATGGATGTTAGCTCAGGGCCAGTCTTCCTCAGCAGAAAAGAGGAGGATTAGTGGTGGATGTTAGCTCAGGGCCAATCTCACACACTCACTCACACACACACGTGATATTTATATAAAAAAAGTAGATTAAGTTCACAAATATCCCAGTAGAAATTTTAAATGAAATGAAGAAAAACGAGGTAATAGTTCCGACAGGATCATACAAAATAAACTAAATGTTCCACAAATTCCAGGATGGAAAGTTTTCATACCACTGCACCAGATGCTGGCTGCACAATCCATGCATATTCTGGACGAATAAGTCGTAAACAATTAATAGCAGCCAGATAACAGTTGCCTTGCTTCTCAAGTCCCCGGAGAGTTCGAACCTCTCTGCCAAGACGCATTCCGTACTCAAACATCACTGTGCCAGCTATGAGGCAATAATAAATTAGACATCAGAATTTCAAAAATGTGTTAATTTAAAGATACACAGAGAATCTGCTACACTTATCAAATATTAACATTAAAAACAAAATTAAGTTTAACTTAAAACCACAAAAACTCATGTGTTGATGACGGTGTGGAAAAATTGGAACCCTTGTGCACTGCTGGTAGGAATGTAAATTGGTGTACCACTATGGAAAAAAGTATGGCAGTTCTTCAAAAAATTAAAAATAGAATTACCTTATGATCCAGCAATTCCACTTCTGGGTATACAACCCCAAAATTAAAAACAGGGTCTTAAAGAGGTGTTTGTATACCCATGTTCACAGCAGCATTATTCATAATAGCCAAAAGGTGGAAGCAACCAAAGTGTCCCTTGATGGACGGATAAACAAGATGTGATATATATGTATAATGGAATATTATTCAGTCTTAAAAAGCATCCATGCTATAACATGGATGAACCTTGTTGAAAGACATTATGCTAAGTAAAATAAGCCAGTCACAAAAAGACAAATATTGCATGATTCCTGTAGTCAAATTCATAGACAGGAAGTAGATTGGCGGTTGCCAGGGCTGTGGGGAGGGGGGATGGAGAGTTGTTGTTTAACAAATATGGTCATGTGTCGCTTCATGATGGGCCACGTTCTGATGAATGTGTTGTTAGGTGATTTGCTGTTGTATGAACATCAGAGTGCACTTACACAAACTTAGATGGTATAGTCTACTACACACCTAGGCTGTATGCTTCTAATCTTAGGGACCACTGTCATATATACAGTCTGTTGTTGAACGAAATGTCATTACACAGCACACGACTATACAGAGATTCAGTTTTGCAAGATAAACAGAGTTCTAGAGGTTGGTTACACAATCATGTGAATGTACTTAACACCAATGAACACTTAAAAATCGTTAACATAGCGAAGTTTATGTTAGGTGTATTTTACCACAATTAAAATAAAAAAGCCAGTGTTAGCCCTCGTGGCCTAGTAAAGTTTGGTGCACTCCGCTCTGCTGGCCCACGTTCGGTTCCCAGGCATAGACCTACACCACTCGTCTGTCAGTGGCCATGCTGTGGTGGTGGCTCACATACAAAAAGAAGATTGGAAGCGGATGTTAGCTGAGGACCTTCCTGGATGTTCCTCAACCAAAAAAAAGCTACAAAATAATGTAAAATGTTACTCTTGACTTTTAAAGATTTTATTTTTCCTTTTTCTCCCCAAAGCCCCCCAGTACATAGCTATATATTTTTAGGTGTGTGTTCGTCTAGTTGTGGCATGTGGGATGCCACCTCAGCATGGCTTGATGAGCAGTGCCATGTCCACGCCCAGGATCCGAACTGGCAAAACCTTGGGCCACCACAGCAGAGTGTGCGAACTTAACCACTTGGCCATGGGGCCAGCCCCCTACTTTTGACTTTTAGATACTACATTCCCAGGCAGTACAGAAGCTAGCTTAGAGAGCAAATCTCAGCCACATTGTTTACCTAGCCCACCCAGGATTCTGAAACCAAAAAATGTTGTGATGCTCTGCTCAAGAACACTGACTTATTTTTAAAAGACTTTAGTTATGTGGGTTGAATGAGATACTGAAAAATACATTGTTCTGAGACAGCTTGGGACTCCAGAAATTAAATAGCATTTAAAGTTTCATTTCAGTTTTCAAATGAAACAATTTATTTTTCATTCCAACAAATATTTTTGAGTGCCTGCAATACGTAAGACATTTGTTAGAAGAACAGCCCTGTTTCAGAAAGACCTGAACATCAATCTAGTTAAACAGGTCTCAGTCAGGTTGCTGTAATGGCTATTATTGTGAAAGCAAACAATGAGAAATCTTTAATAATCTATATTTCTTTTCCTGTATGATACAAGAAAATAAAACAATACGCAGACATGTTTTAACATTAGAATATTAAGAACATGCCTATGAATTACCTCCATCCATTCTTTCCAATGAATATCAGTGAGAAACCTAATGAAAAATTCTGAGTGGAAAAAGTTATAAAAATGTTAAAAGTTCCAAAGGGGAACCACAAATGGTTACCCTATAAAATATGATTTTAAAACAGATAAGTTATCCCTTCATTTCACCTGTTCTGACCAAGATTTCATTAGTCATCCTACAAATCCAAATTAAGATATATCCTACAGAAGTAACTGGCCTGTACTCTTCAAAAATATCAACATCATCAAAGGCAAAGAAAGCCTAAAAGGAGTGCTCCAGATATCACAAGTAAATGCAATAAGTGATCCTAGATCAGGGGCTGAGGGCAGTATGGAAGGAATGTGCTATAAATAAAACCATTATTATGACAATTGGCAAAATTTGAATATGAGCAGCACATCAGAAGACAGCATCACATTTAACTTTAATTCATGAAATTAGTTACATTTCTTTAATTTGATAATTGTATTGGGGCCATATAAGAAAATGTCATTAGGAGGTGCATCTGAAGTATTTATGCATTAAAAGTCATGATGTCTGCAACTTGCTCTCAAAAGAATCAGCCAAAAAAAAGAAAAAGAAAGAAAGAAAGCCAATGGCAAAATGGCACAGGAACTCAAAACCAGCCACAGGAATTCAAGGGGCTTCTAGTGAAGTTAGTTTCCTTTATAATTGGACAAAAAATACACATAGCATGCCATGTCACTGGAAACATCTCAAGAATGTTCTAGAATGGGAGTAAGTGCATCTCTTTAAGGCTAACAGGTAATCTTCAAAAGGGTGAAGCTAATCCTGTACCTAAATATAATTTCCCCAAATACTTGTAGAGAACACTTGCCAAATGGTAAAAATAAGGTAAAAATTACGTAAGTCAAACACAGTATTTTTGTAAAATATGATCAAATTGATAAGGTTGCCTCCAACTGTCTGCTTCAACTGCTCACCTTTTCGGTAATTGTGGCGATAGATGTGAAAGGCATACAGAAGCTCATAGTAATTGTGAGTCATAAGGTCCACAGCCCTCGCACGTGATTCAATTATTCCCACAACCTAACGAAGGGAAAGCAATCAGATATCATAGTTAGTAGCCATCATAACAACCACCACCGTTGTGTCCCGTCATCAGTGAATAGACAAAATTACCTCATTGTGCAGATTCACATAGGGAAACTCTACAAGATCCTGGAGCTGCGAGCGTTCGCAAAGAACTACCACCAGCTGCCGTAAACAATCTAACTGCCTAGAAGGGAAGAAAGGGATACGGCGGGAAACTGTCTTAGTGGATTAAACAAGGCTGGTAAATTGCCTTCTCCAAAAAAGACTATGTGAGATTAACTACCTGCTGGAATCAGGAATTTGGGTTAAGGCTTCATACGCTTGACTATTGTGACCCAAATCCAAATGATGTTTGAAAATGCATGTTCTTAAAGTAGCCTAAATATCAAGTACAGGGGAAAAAAGAACAATAGAAATTAAAATACTACAGCCATGACAAACTTCAAGGGAAATGACCAGATTACAGTTAGTTCTCACCTGACTTTTCCAGTCATCACCTGCTTCAGTTATGGCTGACGTCGCCAGCTGAATAACCAGCTCAGGCAAACCAACAACATCTAGTAGGCGCAAAATCTAAGGAGAAACAGAAGACATTTCCATTAAAATCGATAGGGAAGTGCACTTCAAATGAAAGAGGATTTTAAATTAGTCAGAAAGACAACTAGGTAAGATAAAGATTAAATCAAATAAGACAGACAGGATTATCTGGTTAATACTGAGGATTTCCCTTTAGATTCTACTGCTAAATAACAGACTTCTCGTAAAACTCTATTGGTTGTTTCTGCTCACAGCTCTATCATCAGTGTTTAGTACACAGTAGGCTCTCAGTAAATATTTGCTGGATAAAGGAACAAATACAATGTCACTACCAACTTTTCCTATTAACTGTTTAAGTCATAGAATAAATTAACATCATAGCCTTATAAAAAGCCTAAAGACAATACGTTAATGTTTGAAATAACCCATTTCTAACACAACAAAGAACAGTGCTCTTCCAACTGTTTTGATTGTCTACCCTATTAATAATGTCTGTGCACACTCCTGCAGACACGTACACATGTATTTACTTATATTACATACATGCATTTCTCTAATCTATGTATAACAATATACTCAAAACATAAATTTAGAGGCTGGCCCTATGGCATAGTGGTTGAGTTTGGTGTGCTCTGCTTCGGCAGCCCGAGGTTCGAGGGTTTGGATCCTGGACATGGACCTAGACCATTCGTCAGCCACGCTGTGGCGGCAACCCACATACAAAATAGAGGAAGACTGGCACAGATGTTAGCTCAGGGCTAATCTTCCTCAAGCAAAAAAAGAGGAAGATTGGCAACAGATGTTAGCTCAGGGCGAATATTCCTCAGCCAAAAAACAAACAAAAATATATATAAATTTATAAAGGATGAAGTAAAGGCAAAAATAGTTTAAAAATTATTATTTTTATTAGTACTTATTATTTGCTTTAGTAACAGTATAAAAACATCATTTTTGTTCTGGATGCTTAGTTTTTTAAGGTTATACTTTTTATTGAAGTGTAACATATATTTAGAAATTTACACAAATCCTAAGTACATAGCTGGTTGAATGTTCACAAAGTAAACATATCGATGTTACCAGCACCCAAATTAAGAATCAGAATATATCGACATTCCAAAGCCCCAAGGTCACGCCTTCCAGACACTACTGTTTTTCTTTCTTCTTCCCAAAGGCCCCCAGCACAAAGTTGTATATTCTAGTTGTAGAGTCCTTCTGACTCTGCTATGTGGGATGTTGCCTGAGCATGGCTTGATGAGCGGTGCTAGGCTGCACCCAGGATCCAAACTGGTGAAACCCTGGGCTGCCGAAGTGGAGCACACAAACTGAACTTCACCACTTGGCCAAGGGGCCCCCATTACTGACTTTTAATAGTTTTGTTCTTATTCAAGGAAACAGAATCTTATGGTATGTATTTTTTGGTCTACCTTCTTTTGCTTAACATGTCTCTAAGACGGATCTAACTTATTATATGCAGCAACTCATTTCCTTGCTGTGGTTATTCCATTGAAAGAATATACCATAATTCATTGATCTATTCTGTTAACAGACATTTGAGTTGTTTCTAGTATATGACTTTCATGAATATGCTGCTTGAAACGTAATTATACATTTCTTTTGGAAAATACGCGTGACTTTCTGGATGTATTTAGAATTGAAATTCCTGGGTCTGAGGGTATGTCAGTGACTGGAGCTAGTAGATAACTGACAGTGATCCAAAGTGGTTGCAACCAGTTCATACTCCACCACAGGTGATTAGCATGCTCAGTGTCTTAATGACTTTCATGGTCCCATACTATCTTGAATTGACATTTCAATACAAGGTACACTTACTTCGATTTTAAATAGCATTCCTGAAAAGTTCAATTGTTTTTAGTTGATTCTCGTCACATCTGACTATAGACTGTCACTGTTTTCACTTTGCAATGTGGCTGATGAAAAGCCTGTATCAAAGGTGGCCATGTCAGCCCGAGCTTTTCCGCATTTGCTTGTACTGTCTTTGTTAGTGTTACCTTCAGTCTGGCTTCTTGGCAGGAACTCTTAAAAGCCAAGTCCATATTGTGAAGACAATTTTCATTAAAGTTAAGCAATATATTGTGCAAGTCAATTTAACCAGGTAATCAGAACCGCCTGAAATGAAGTGGAGGAGGGAGGGCGCCAGTCTGCCCCCACGCCTAACAGTGATGCTCCCACTCTTCCCTCGGACACCTACCCCGAGACTAAGTGACAAATGACGCCCTGCTGAAAGGACCAAGTAAGGGCACCGGCTGGAGTCAACCTTTACATTAAACAGCACATTTTAATTTACTTCTTCTGTGAAAGGTCTAGTATTTTCTTTCAAGGTCCTACTTTGGGGTCCACTGGCGCAGTGATACTTAACGTTTTTTAACTCCAAAAGTTTCTTTCCATGAAAACCATGGAGCCCTTCTACAGAAAAAAAAACAAAACATTTTTCATACAATTTCAGGGGATTTATCGATTCCTCAAATCTATCTGGCCTCAGATTAAAAACCTTTACTTAGAATTCAAAATAATCTTCTTCTTAGTAGAATGATAGAGGGTCATTAAGAGGTTATTAATAGGGTTTAACAAGCAATGAACAAAACAGTGAAGCCTGCCCTTGCTGCATTCACTTCTTGGTGGGAAATCCAGATATCACACAACACATAGATATGCAAAATATAATATCAAGCACAATGAAATGCTATAAAGAAACAAAGCAGGGCAAGGAGAGAGACTGCCCACAGCGCCTCCATCTGCATGTGTGCACAGAAGGCAGAGAGGGAGCAAGTGTGGGCACAACAGCTGTTCTACAAGGCGAGGCAGGAGGAACTTTCTGAGGAGGTGGCACACGAGCAGAGACCTGAAGGAAATGAGGGCGTGAGAAACCTGACTGTCTGGAGGAAGCGCATTCCAGGCTGAGGGAACAGCAGGTAGAAAGAAAGGTCCTGAAGGAAACAGACGTGCTTGGCTTGCATGAGTCAGTAGGAGCGCCACTATCATTACAGCTGGGTGACCGAGGAAAGACTGGTAGGAAACAAGGTCAGGAGGGGCACCCAGGGCCAAATCATAAACCTAGGTTAAATACAGCATTACTAGCTAATTCTTGGAGACATCAGCAAGACTAATAAAACAGAAATGAAGTAATAAACTTCCGATGATGACTGGGCTAATGAAATGATATCATGATGGGAATTTCATTGAAGTTAAAAACATTTATCAAATTTAATTAAAAATATACATTTCTTCAATTTTTCTAGGGAAATTCATTTTTCTCTTCATTTAAAAGTTCAGAGAACGAGTAAACGTTTATATTATCTGCCTTCCAAAATACCAAAGCAATGGGTTTCAGATACATTTTTCCACAGGGTGGATTAAGAAAACCAAACCATGACATAAGGTACCTTATCATAATACTGCAGCCTGGGCGTGGACACGATCTCCCCATCCTCTGAGCGAATCAAGCGATCCAAGAATTCCTCTTTGCCCACTTCAGAGGCTGCCTGGCAGAAGCACTCCAGAGCCTGGAGAAATAAAAGAATACAAAGCGATTCATAACAAACTTCCACTTCTAGGTGCTGTAAGTTGGGGGTTTGTGTGTTAAGGAAAGCCAAAAAAAGAAAAAATTATTTAAGACCACTGACTACATTCACAATTTCTGCCGTTCTAAATTCCATCTAATGCGTTATTCAACATTTTCCTTTAATTTACCTCACCGTTTTACTTCAACGTTACCAAATAAAAAGTAAACTTCAATAAGATAATTGATGGATAAATATGTAATAAAGCAAGTGTAGCAACATATTAACATTTGTAGAATTTGAATAGTGAGTAGATGGGTGTTTACTATAAAAGTCTTTCAAGTTTTTCATATGTTTAAAAATCTACATATTAGGATGTCAGGGAAAAAATCAGAAATGTAAACAAACTATCATAATTGGGGAAAAAAGCAGCATAAAATTTTTAAAAAGACATAATGAAAAGGTTAATTAAGTAAGAAATTTGATTTATAAAAATGCATCCCTAAAAACACCTGCACGGGGCCAGGGATTTAACGTTTTCTTCTTCCTGTTCTCATGCGTCCTAACCAGCCCGCACAGCTCACGAAGCTCAACAGTCCAGCCCTCACTGGCGTAGCACGCCCCTTGCTGGCACCGGTCTTAATCCTTATCTAGAAGATTCTATGCCTTCCATCCCCCGTGACCTGGTTAGATGGAAACTAAGAGTCATCCTTCGCTCGAGTTTATTCATCCTTCAAATGCAGTTTACCTTCTGGCCCTCTCCTGTGACCAGGTAACACCGTCCCAGCATAAATCGACAGGAACCAACGTTGACTTGACACCAGGGATGTAGCAGTTGAATATAATCCTTAAGGGCATAAAAAGTGCTTTCTGATTAGGAAATAACTACTACTTAAGAAGATATTCATTCACAAGTTCTTCACACAGGGAGAGAAGACAGAGGTCAATCAACACAAAAGCTGTATTTCCTGAAGTCATCTGGAAATTAAACTTAATCCTGTTCATCTATTCCTGTATTAGCTTAGACACTGTAACAAGTAAACAGGACTCCAATAACACTAATACACGTAAACACACATACACTTTCCATCTTAGCAATTTTCCAACTTCTGGTATTTACTGGTTCAATGACTAGATTCCCATAAAGGACTTATATGAAGACAATGGTACAGCAGTCCCCCCTTATCTGTGGGGGACATGTTCCAAGACCCCCAGTGGATGCCTGAAATCGTGGATAGTACTGAACTCTACAGTATGTTTGTTTACCATAAAGAGAACCTAATAGAGAGAGAGAGAATAAAAAAGAGACTTTAGAAAAAATTATGTTAGGAAAGATGCCATCAAGAGAGAAGTAAAGAAAATCTCTCTGGGGTCTATTTTGGTGCAATCAAGTTTAAATTATTGTAATTCTTTTTATGAGCCTATTTAAAATGCAGGTAACATTTACAAAGAAAAAAAAATCCAGAAATCCCATTCTTTACAAGAATGATTAAACCTGATATCTTCATCGGTACTCACCTGCAATTGTACATACTGACAATTTCCCATCAAACATTCTAGAAAGAGACAACCGGGATTGCTAGGCCATCTAGTCATTGGATAAGGAGATTTTTTACTTTTTTGGCAAAATTTAAATATACACACTGGGCATCAAACTCCATGAAATGGTTTAATTTTTTGTTTTTTTTGGAGAAAGAGCTAACTACTGAGCTAACTACTGCCAATCCTCCTCTTTTTGGTGAGGAAGACTGGCCCTGAGCTAACACCCATGCCCATTTTCCTCTGCTTTATACGTGGGATGCCTGCCACAGCATGGCTTTTGCCAAGCGGTGCCACGTCCACACCCGGGATCCGAACTGGTGAACCCCAGGCCGCAGAGAAGGGGAAGGTGCGCACTTAACTGCTGCGCCACTGGGCCGGCCCCTGGCTTGATTCTTCAAAAAGAAGGGAAAGAGAAGGTGGCAGAGCACATGTTCTTTCCACATAACTATAAAACCTCAATATTAGATAAACACAATGAAAAGGTTTAATACCAGGAGCCTAGTCACCTAGCTTAGAACCCAGTTAACCACGGGCTAACACATATTTCATCACTGGGTGGTTGTTTCCAATTCTGGCTGGTATATTGCTCAAGCATACTGTTGGTGCCAGTGGACACCCAGCACCTAACATAGTGCCTGGCATACAGAGCCACTCAATAGCTATCTGACGAGTGTACAATGTTTAAAAAGAGATGTAGGTATTAAACGTGTGCACCATACAATCTAGCTCAATTCCTGAGCAAAAAAAATAAAATAAAATAAAAATTGGGATCATATCGGAATAAGCACCTAACCTCATTAAAAATCTTCATTACATAGGCAGAATAAAAGCCTTAGACTATTTAGACAGAAGAAAACTTTTAAATAAAACTTTTAAATAAAAGGATACAAAAGCTGCAATAAATAATTGGTAATTGCAGTAATCATCTCAGGCCAATTCAACCCAGTTTGGCTAAGAGGTGCCTTTGGTTGAGAGAAGAGATGAGATATAATGTGTTTTCTTGCAACTTCATGGAAGAATAATTCCACAATTGTCTGAGGGCTAGATACTTAAAAAGAAAAAGTTATGACAATCATCAACTTGTGACAGTAATACCAAGTTTCAATTAAGACAGACGATCAATTCATTTTATGCCTGTAACAAAGAACATTTATTATTTCAAAATATAAAATGCATCATGAGTGTAATCGATAGCAATATAAACAAAGCAATTTGTAACCTGTGTAGTACTACACAAACGCAAGAAAAAGCCACTGGAATCGATAAGCCATTAAATTGTAGTCGTTTCTTTTCACTGATCTCACTACGGCTAAGTGTCTTCTCTGGAAAGTATTCACAATAAATACAGTTCCAAGACTCCAAACTTTATACCAAAACAACACAAAATAAATTCTCCAGAATGGTTCTCAAGCATGAGTGGGCTCCTTTTGAGTATTTGTTGATTAAGACAAGATCATAAAAGCTACCTTGAACTTACTAAATTTTAAAAATGATTTTGCTGAGCTCATCACTGGAGCATCAATACATAATGGGCAAGCAGCTATGCAGACTTCTCGTCATGACCAGAGGTCTCAGGCCACAGCTTGTTGACCCTCTCAAACTGAAAGCAGGGCCTAGCCAACCTTTCCACAGCAAAGGTGGCAAAAGACCACATTAACGAATGCCAAATGTAAAACCAAATGCATACACAGTCCAGTCCTTACCAAACTTATTTGCCATTAAAGCACCGGAGTCAGTTAGTTCCAATACCGACAAGTGTTGGAGATTAGATTCCCTGTGAAAAAAGAGAAAAAGACAGCTTAATAAAGTCGTCTCCACAGACACGACTTCAACAAGTTATCCTGTCAATAACACTGTCAATTTAATCAAGGCATTGCATATAGAAGCTCCACCGAAAACACACGAAAAACCCTGGAAAACATGTCATGGTTTAGATTGTGGCCCACCATATCACCCAGTCAGCTTTCAACGAGAAGCCAGAGCAGAGACATCTTAGCCCCCCATGCCACGAAGTCTTACCTTGCCAGAACAGAGGATGGTTTATCTCATTGAAAATGTGAATCCTAAGTATTGGATTTTCTTTCTTCTTTTGGTTATAAAGAGCTCAGCCTACCTTTAATAACAAGTACATTTCTGTGTGTGGTCTAACTTTCCCTGTGACCTCATCTTATTATTTTGCCTTCAACAGGATTTATCTTTACATTATACACATACATATACAATAATAAAATATATTTATTATTTTCATTCTTGTTAAGTTGTTTTCAACCTTTAGAAAATGAAACATCTAAAAGCTTTCTGAATTTTAAAGGGAAATCATGCTATAGCATCATGTTTATAAATTTTTTCTCTTTAAGACAATGAAAAAAATAACTAAACTCACAAGTTATTTGAAAAACAATTAGAATAATGAAACTCACAGCGTGTCAATTGGAACATCAGTTGCCAAGCACTGACTTCCCCACTTAATGAGGTAATAAGATAAGAGCAGGGGAGCTGTTCGATGTAGTAGGTCTTGCTGAGCTTGAAAGAGCTGACCAGCTCCCAAAATCACCTATTCATGACGGGTGGGTGGATGAGACAGTAAATAGCAATTAGTAATGATAACTCAAGGTTCAGGGGGAGGTAAAAAAAAAAAAAAAAAAAAGCACAGTTACAAAGGGAATATAAAAAAGCAACATACATACATTAAAAAAAAGCAGCACACCTATTAAACTGTGAGGTAGCAGGTGGCAAAAATATCTACCCAAACATTTAATAGTATGAAAATAATCAAAGATAGCTCACTAAGTCATGGGAGCTGACAGTGAAAAAGAAAGCAACAAAAAGCTCAACTTTCATCAAATCTATGGGTTCAGAATTCAGCAAGAAGTATAGGGAAATCAAAGTCTTTTCTTTCTCTTTATTTTGGTGAGGAAGACTGGTCCTGAGCTAACATCTTTGCCAATCTTTCAATCTTTCCTCTATTTTGTATGTGGGATGCCGCCACAGCATGGCTTGATGTGGTGTAGTGGTATAGGTACCCCCTGGGATCCAAACCTGCAAACCTGGGCTGCTGAAGTGGAGCACACTGAAGTTAACCACTACACCACAGGGCCAGCCCCTCAAAGTCTTTTCTCATGCTTCTGGTCTTGGGTAAAAATGGGTATGACCACTAGAGGAAAACTTGGCAACCTTACCAAAAGCCTTAAAAGGTATACAGAAAGTTACAGCTATGAGGAAAAAACTGGCAACAACCTGGATGGCCACAAATGGGACTGGTTAAGTTAAAACTGTAGCAGGTAACTATTAAAAATAATGTCATAGAATACTTAATAACGTGAAAATGCTGATGAAATCTACTGTGAGAATAAAAATAATCAGATTAGAAAAAACAGTATGAAGCATATCCTAATTTTATAAATAAAATGAAAAAAATATTTGCATAGGAAAAAAGGTGTACACCAAAATGTGAATAGTGGTTATCACTGGGTAGAAGATGACAGATGAATTTTAATTTTCTTCGTTTACAGACAAAGGCTTACATATAAATGTTCTACAATGAATATCTATTACTTCCGTTTTTATAAAACTACATTGGTTATGATTAAACAAAACAAAAAATCCTGAAGAAATGAAAGAATCTACAAAGATTGAAAAGAACTTAGTAAGGGCTGCCCTGAGTGACAGACTCTCAGGAAAGGTTCCTGTTCCTCCTTGGGGGTCCCAAACAAATCATCTTCCTAAATGTTTTTCCTTATTTTTACCTGAAATTCTACCATTAGTAATGTATTTATAAATTCTGATTTAAAAAATATAAATACCTCTGGGAGCCCCAAAGGTCTTTCAGTTTTTTATACATTAACACGAATTAACTTAACTGGATCGCTTCCTTCTCAGGCTTGGAGGGGATTACCAACTGAGAGATACACGGGACTTCTGCCCATGGGCAGAAAGGTAACACGAGAACATGGAACATTCAGTAGGGTGGGAGACAAGGACTGCAGGATGTCTGCAGCCTTCTAAGAAGAAGAACAGGATGTAAAAGGAAGCACAGAATGGAGTTGGGAGGACCCCAAAGACAAACTCTGCAATCTCAAAACTGTGCTTAGGGTAAACCCTATACTGCAGAGAGAGAGTTCTCTTTCTTCTTCTTCCTCTCTCCTCCACACTAAATAGTTCCCTGCTATCATACGCAAAGTAGTACCAACAATACTCAATTCTGGGAGGCCAACTTGGGACATTTTCCCACCACTATACATATGATGATTCATAGTATAACAATCTGCTTCATGCATGTTCTTAATCCGTACTTTTAGATTGTGATGTTTACTCATTCTTAATTCAACATGCATTTACACAGCACCCACACGGGCCAAGCACGGGGACAGAGCAGTGAACAAGGACAAGCCTCTGCACGCGCGGGGCTGGCCTTCAGCTCTGTGCCTGTAGATCTAGATCAGGTTTTAGATTCTACAAGTTTCCCCTCAAGTAGTACTTACTGCGTCTCCTAGTCTCATTAACAGCTGCTGTAAGATCAGAAGGTCTCGGCAGATGAGGAAGCGAGTACTGGCAATTTTACACACAGCTCTGCACACAATAGACCCTGCTGTGCTACTACCGTAGAGCTGGGAAAGATTCATCCGGATATTCAAAGGCTGAGCTGTAATTAAAAAACAAAGAGAGAGAGAGGAGTTAAATGTATTATTGTTTCTCTAAATCAAAGAGTCACATGTGTGGTTTTGTCACTTACCTGGATTGAATCCCTTTTCCATTTCCACTTCTGTTTCATAATCCATTTCCCGTATAAGAAGTCCAATGGCGTGGATTGGGTTCCTAATCTCTTGCAGTTTACTACAAATATCCTCCATCACATTTTCTCTATAAGGACAATTAGAAAACTCCCATTACCACCGAGAATACGTAAGACAGGCTCTATATGTCCTGTAAGCTAAATGCTCTATGAAACGGGAAAACCAGCCACATAATAAAGGAGTGGAGATCATCACTGTGGCATATAAGATACTTTTACTCCACGTTGCAAATTTTCCCTCATTTTTTCAGAAATGACAGGCAAAATGAATGTAAGAAAAATACTTTTATGTTTTAGAGTTTACAGCAATTAAGTTAATAGCTAGACCATAATTTATGAGTCTGTTTCCAGAGCTGAATTCATGTGTTAGATTTTCTGTTTAGCTGAAACACTTACTTAGAATCAAGGCAACTCACTTTAAGCCACTACTTTGTACATACTTGAATGTACATTAAAAACCTGACTTTGGCACTAAAAATGACTAAATTTCCATTAGGAAATGCACTTTACCCTAAATTCTCCTTACACATCAATAGTGATCAAATCTTCCAGAATCTGTTCTGCAGTCTTTTCTGGAGACTGGAGGTTGTAACAACTCATTTCCATCATTACTGACATATCCATAGTCACTGACTCTCCAATCAGCCGAAGGCATTTTATAAGACATATGACATCTCGAGCAACATCCACATCTATGAGTAAGAGAAAGTTAACATTCACGTCTCAAGCCAATGAAGAACGACTAATACCATACTAAAATATTAATAATTAAATGCCAAGGATCTGTCTGAGGTCTTGGAGATGCTTAGGCATCTTCAGTTTTCCTTAAAATATCTATAATGTGGTAAATTGACCAGGAAAGGTCACAGTGGCAATGTTTTTTTGCATCTGTTGAAACCAAGCATAGTGTTCAAGTAGGAAGGGGCTTAAATATGAACCTAACAATTACAATTACCATCAGATATGGTTGTCTCATCCTCTGTCAAAAGGTTCTCATCAGGCAGGAGATACAAATGATCCACTAAGGAGGAAGGCGCAAGGAAAGACAGGTACCCCTGGAAATACAAATCTTCCAGTTAGGTTTTTTTTGGTGAATGTTTAAAGGTATAAAATAATTGAGACCTGATTCTTATCATGAAGAAACACCAGACAATTCCAAACTGAGGGCTATTCTACAAAAAAACAGGTATAGTCTTCAAAAAAATGTCAGTGTTATAAAAGACAAAGAAAGGTAACAAGAGTTCAAGATTAAGCTAAGGAAACATGACAACTAAATACATGCAAGATCTTAAATTGGATCCTGGGTCAGGAACAGAAGCTGTGCATATAATTGGGAAAATCTGAATATTAACTTTATAACATTGTAACAATTTCAAATTGCCTGATCTTTAAATTGTGCTGTGATATATAAGAACACCCTTGTTCTTAGATACATGGTAAAATATGTAAGGAAAAAGGGGCATGATGTCTACAATTAGCTCTCAAGTGGCTCAGGAAGAAAAAAACATATTTATAGAAGGAAGGGAAGCAAATGGAACTTAAATGATGAATCTGTGTGAAGGGTATACAGAAGTTCTTTGTGCTATTCTTGTAACTCTTACCTAAAGTTTGAAATCATTGCAATATAAAAGGTAAACAAAATGCAAAAAAGCATACGTAATGCAGAAGACTATCTAAATACAAATGAAATTTAGAAAGAAAAAACCCTACAAAGTCCTAAAAGCTAACAATAACACACAACAGACCAACATTCTGGAAGACCCACTGAACCGCCTAAAGGAATTCTTCCGTGCGCTTCAGCTCCCTTACTTTTCTCAGCAGGCACACCATGTTTGTGTGCGGATTCAAATGCAGGGCAAGAGGATGAGAGAGTGCTTCCTGATACTGAAGACAACACGCATAGAACTTGCACCAGAATTCCTGTTGTAAATTTCGAAATTCTTCCTGGGAAAATTCATACTCTGTTACACTTCCCTGGAGCTGGCAAAGAAAAAAAAACAAAACTCTTGATACCATTTGGGATCTTTCTCCCCATAAAACATAACTGTCTAACATCATTTTACTAAGCTAGAGCCAAATGAATACTCCTTATGCGTTACATGCCGTAAACTATATAAATATATATCTAATTCTCTAATTAAAAGGTTTAAGCATTTTTACTCCCTACTAATAAGGTCCAGTAAACAACTGAACAATTCCTCAGTACCAATCGGCCCTCTATCAAGATGGAAGAAATTATCGTTCTTTCTTTACCCAAACCTTACCTCACTTTCAACAGCTAAAGTAATTTCTTTCTTTAGTTCACTCCAGGAAAGATCTAAATTCCTCTCAGTTCCTCGACAGAAAATCTAAAATTAAAAGAGACATTTTAGAGTATTACACAATATCCAAACTGAATGAAAAATACTCCGGTTCAGGAGGCATCGAGGCAATATACGACTATACAATAGAGACTGGACATGCCTGGAATATACATTTACTCCTGACACCGCAAATATTCTGTAAGTGAAATCACTGTGAGTTCTATAGAACAGAATAAACTTTAGAAATTCATGAATCTGAAAGAATTATAATTGGGTACATTTGGATCATTACAAAAAACAAAAGGAAACAGAACGGCTATTGCTCAGCTGGAAGGAAGATGTAAGATGATGCTAAACATACCCATCCCGAGACAGACACAAAGGTAAGTGGTGATGGAGCTGGGTCACTATACTGGGAATGACTCTCCTAATGGAAAGCATTTGATAAATGCCTTAGTGATTATTTAATGTCTCAGTGTGTAAGAGATTTCATGAGAAATATTATTAGACATTTGATTACTGTTAACAAGGAAGAAGTAGTGATGAGATGAAAGAAAAAAGACGTTAGGAGAAAGTAACCATGTCATCCTAAAGTTTTATCAGAGAGAAAACAGAAAATACGCAATAGCCAGATATTCAAGAATGTACCAGAAGAAAGGTCAAGGGTCTGGAAACCATACCGGAGAGAAAGTTAAGGAACTGAGTGCATTTCGTCTGGAGAAAGAAAACATGGAAAGATCTTAAAATATTTGAAGGGCTGCTTTATAGAAGAGAGATATGTTCTATGAAGTTCCAAAAGAAAGAAGCAACTGAAAGGATGGGGTTAATTTGATCCAATACTGGGAAGAACTTTTATTTTTTAATTTTTATTTATTTATTTTTTTTAAAGGAAGATTAGCCCTGAGCTAATATCTGCCACCAATTCTCCTCTTTTTGCTGAGGAAGACTGGCCCTGAGCTAACATCCACGCCCATCTTCCTCTACTTTATATGTGGGACGCCTGCCACAGCATGGCTTGATAAGCAGTGCATAGGTCTGCACCTGGGATCCAAACGAGTGAACCCTGGGCCGCTAAAGTGGAACGTGCAAACTTAACTGCTATGCCGCCAGGCTGGCCCCTGGTAAGAACTTTTAAATGATAGTTTGGGAACAACTCACATAAGAGCCGGTCAGAAACTTGTCACTGGAGGCTGAGACAACTAGAAACTGAAGAGTTGTCTCTCAGAGAAGCCTCAGAAGGAATTTCTGCTTTGTGTGGCAGCCAGATCAGGAGATTCTAAGGGGCTTTTCAATTCTATGAGTGACTTTTCTATTTTAAATCCATGAAACAGAGTGGCAATTTAAGGAAGCCTAAGTGACTTTAAAGTAAAGAATCCTTTTGTAAAGCATCAAACATTTCTTAAACCACATCTGACTCTGAAGCTTAGATTTTTAGAGTTTTCCTGAACCTGAACCAAGTCAGACCTTCAATGTACTAACAGAAGGGTAAAAACAGGACCATCAAAACTAGCCAAGAAAACATTTTAAATTTCTCTCAAGTTCAGAGATTATATGCAGTACAGCAGTCAGGCACTGTATAATGTCATTTTGGTCAATGATAGACCACATATACGACGGTGGTCCCATAAGATTAGTACCATATAGCCTAGGTGTCTAGTAGGCTATACCCTCTAGGCTTCTGTAAGTACACTCTGGGATGCTGGCATGACAAAATCGCCTAATGACTCATCTCTCAGAACATATCCCCGTCATCAAGCAGCGCATAACTGGATGGTATCTTTACAAGAGGGGAGGCAGAGGTTTCTCTTTTTACTACTGAAATGCTTCACTAATCATACAGAAAGTTCCCCCAACTCTACCTCCCAGCTGGAAGACTTTAACAGAAAAAAATGTTAAAAAAAAAACTACAACAGTATTCTAACACATGTATATGCAACTGCAAATATATGTTCAGTGTTTAGTATATGCAAAACACAAATTAACAGTAATCATTAATTATACAAGAACAGTAACAAAATAAGAGAGAGTCTTAAATAAACGTTAAATCTTTTTTTGCTGACCTGTAAAGCTTTACATAAAGCTGCATTTATGAACCGTCCTGGTGTAAACAGACTCCGTAAATACATCTCCTGTTAGAACATTAAAACAAAAATGAATTTCGCTCTAAAAAGATAAAATCTGGAAAAATCTGAAGGAAGAATTCAACATGTTAACAGCAAAGTTGGAGCTTCTATTAGATGACGCCGGCCCCTCTGCATTTGAGCACTAACAAGCAGTAAGCGTTCCATATTCTCACACTGAATGGAAGCCTGCCGGGGCTCTGAGTCAACCAGACGCACTACACGGAAAATGGTGCGCTCCTCAGGCAGCACTTTGCTGGGTTCCACCGGAAAACACAGCTTGTCAAATGCCAATCTTAAACGGAACAGGCGAATCGAATTTCTGGCTAACATACACTGGTAAGAGAACAATTAAACTAAACTGACTTCTACACATCCACAAAGTACTCATTTTATGGCTCACATATAAAAGAAAAGGAGCCAAAAATAATAGGAATCATATGTAAAAACAAAAAACTGCAATAAGCTCTCACAAGTAGAGGAATGAAGTAGAGAGAATAAAATGGAAAGTCTCATATTGCCTAATTATTTTGACCAAATTTCGTAAACCAGATTTGCCAGTAAGGAGCAAACCTGACTGACCTTCCTTCAAGTTTCCTTCTACTAAGGTTCTGCGGGATAATAAAATGACCAAAATGAGGGAGAAAAACAAAGATTTTAATCATCAGCATATGATTTTGGCTTTTAGCGAAAGTCAAGTGCCAATAAAGTTTTGGGATTAGAAATTAGCAATATTCGCTTTCAGATACTTAAAGAGGCTTTTCCAATCCTACGAACAGTCCTTGTTTCAGACCGAGATCCATACTCTTTTAATACATTTTAACATTAATGCATCAATTGAAAGCTTTTTCTTCCATTTATCCTGAAGATGTCCCTGAAAAACAGGGAGATGGGCCTATTCTGCTCTCCACTTCATTACCTTTTATTTTCCTCAGAGCATATACCTCTAACAGAATTTATCTGACTTCCAGTTTATCTGCGTGTACCAACACCGTTAGTACAGTGGACACGTAGCGTCTGTCCCTGCCCAGAATCTGTTTCCCCTTATCTTTCTCTCGGGAACCATTCCTTCTCTACCCATAATCAACTGACTTCACCACCCTTAGAATAGCAAGCCCCAGGTAGCCAAGTTTCTTATGCTAAGCCCAGAATATTCTATTCCTTTTGATCAGTGTCTACGTCAGGAATGAGCACATGACAAGCCAGGCCATTGAGTGTCAACTCCAGGACCTGGGACAGAGGCACTCTTTCCTCTGAAGTTGCTAAGTTTACAGACTACAAGCTCTCTCAGGGAGCCTGCCTGACAATGAACCCAAATCAAAATAGGAAAGCAGAATAGACAAAGGAGAGAGCAAGCCTTGAAGGCACTGTTCCAGCCCTGGCTGAAGCCAGGTAACTCTGACCTTCTCAGCCGTTCAAGCCAGTACGCTCTCTCCTTTACACTTGAATCAGTTTCACCTGCAGCTGAAAAGACTTCTGACTAACACAACTGCTTCTTCTCCAACTAAGATCAGGGCAGATCATCCCCTTACGTAAGACTTCAGCGGTGCTTACTCTGGGGTCTTGATCATCTCTGATAATGATCTCTGCCTCTGGCAGAGGCTGCATGAAAACTGGATTCCACTGACCGGCAATATTACTGCAGAGAAAACAAAGTCCATCAGTTTACACACAAAAGAGGAACACAAACGAAGCTTACGCTGTCGGCAGTTGTCTGAGCGGGGAGGCCCCATCACTCAACCTCTGCTCAGTCAATTCTATTAAAAATGTTTGAAGAAAAAAAGACCACACACTTACTCTTGGCGGAGGCTGGTTTTACAGAAGGCTCCTAGCCATTTTAACAGGCATCTTCCTGAAATTAAAACTCTAAACACAAACCCACAAATGATAGCTAACTTTTATTCTGCATTTACTGTACGCTAGATACTGTGCTAGGTGCAGTTCTGGATATTATTCATGTGCGCCTCATGCTAACTCTTTAAAGGACGGAGTACCCTCATTTTGTACATGTGGAAAGCGAGGTTTAGGGTTTCTCACAGCCAGTAAGTTGCATAACAGGATTAAATCTCTTATCCGACCAGATTCTTTGCCTTTCTACCACTTTGCTTGAATGCCATCTATCAGGAGTATGCTCATATTTTCTGAGGTGTGGCTTAGGGGAAATCTGGGGGCAACCATGCCTAGAATTCTATTCTAGAACATAGGGTTATGAGGTACCCCCAAGTTTCAATTCATTTAGCTCTGGGGATGTCAAGCTGGGTTCCAGAGAACACTCCACAGCTGTTTCAGGGGTACACAAGTGTTTGATTCAAAATTGTTTTTCTTAATGTGTTTTGTAACTACTAAAAATTTTAAACCAATATCACGTATATCAAAAATACTAGATACCAAATATATCTAACATTAGAGATTATCAACACATTAAATTGCTATAATTTTATACTCATAAAATCCCAGTTTCATTAGAGTTCATTATCTCCTGAAAAAAAGCGTTTACTGTTTTTAAAAAAAGTTTGAGAAGTACTGTATTTGTCTATTTCTCATCCTAAATGAGGAAACTGAGAACCCAAAGGGGCCGCAGTACCTTTCAGAAGTTCAGGGTATCAGAAATAGTCCTTGCTTAGAAGCAAAGAAAACTCCTAGATTGAAGTATTTTGCATATTTGCTATCTCTCCCAAGAACATGGTATTTTCCTTATTCCAACCCTAAAAATCCTCATTTTGTCCTAAAACCAAAAGATAAGAAATAACATAAAATGCTAATGAAGGCACTTCAGAAAATAGCTAACAACAGGCAAACCCTGGGCTGAATCCTTTAAATGCAAACTCTCAACTTTGGTTCTAAATAATAAGCTGTCTTGTCTTCTCTTAGTATAACACTGCGTGTGGTAGGTAAGGATGACAGATAAGCGGCCCATACTGTTCAAAGTTGATGTACTTCACAACCGTTTGGTCCTCAGCATCGTGCCACAGGGCCCAGATATCCGTAGAGGTTAAGGCAAAGTCAATCAGTGTCTCCTGGGAGGAAAGGAGGGGAAAAAAAAAAAGGTTAAAATAAGCAAGAAAAGGTACTGGTTTACGGCAATTTAAATTTTTATTGGTAGAAGTAAATGCATAAAAACAAAAGACAGTACCAGGTGAACTTGACAAAACCCAAATGAAATGCTTTGCATACATCATGAAATATCCCATTTTACGAGATCCATCCCGTTACAACACAGTGGAGCGAGCCAGCACTTCTCGTGTGACAAGCAAGGGATGATCCAGCCTACCTGAGAAGTGAAGAGCGAGGAAATGTGATCTAGACTATAGCGGTTATTCTCAGTGCTCACCAGCTGGAAAACGCAGAACTGTCAAAACACAAGTAGATAATTCAGTACTTAAAATAATCAACACGCTGCTTTTCTAAACAGGAGTTATTATCACTCAGAAACCAATTTTTTAACAAGTATGGCAAAATGCACGGACCATTTACCATCTTAGCCATGTTTAAGTGTCTAGTTCAGTAGCGTTAAGTACAGTCACATTACTGTGCAACTGGATCTAGAAAATTTTTTCATCTTGCAAAACTGAAACTCTATACCTATTAAATAACTCCCCTCTGCCCTTTCTTCCAGCCCCTGGCAACCACCATTCTACTTTCTGTCTCTATGAATTTGACTACTCTAGGTGCCTCACATAAGTGGAATCTTACACTATCTGTCCTTTTGTGACTGGCTTATTTCACTCAGCATAATGTCCTCAAGGTTTATCCATATTGTAGCATGTGTCAGAATTTCCTTCTTCGTTTTTTTTGGTTTGAGTAAGATTGGCCCTGAGCTAACATCTGTGCCAATCTTCCTCCATTTTGTATGTGGATCACCACCACAGTATGGCCGTTGACGAGTGATGTAGGTGCATGCCTGGGAACTGAACCCAGGCTGCCGAAGCAGAACGCACTGAACTTAACCACTAGGCCATGGGGCCAGCCCCAGAATTTCCTTCCTTTTAAAGCTAATTAATATTCCATTGTAAGCATATACCACATTTTCCTCATCCATTCATCTGTGGATAGATATTTCAGGTCGCTTCCATCTTTTAGCTATTGTGATAATGCTGCTATGAACATGGGTGTAGAAATACCTCTTTTGAGACCCTGAATTGAATTTCTCTGGGTATATACCCAGAAATGAAATTGCTGGATCATATGGTAATTTTATGTTTAAGTTTTCGAGGAACCTCCATACTGTTTTACATAGTGGCTACAGCATTCTACATTCCTGCCAGCAGTGTACAACAGTTCTAATTTCTCCACATCATTGCCAATTCTTATTTTTTTATGGTGAGTGTTTTTTGATAGTAGCAACCTAATGGGGTGAGGTGGTATCTCATTATGGTCAAAAACTTATTTTTAAGTTTACATTTTTACCAAAGTACCAGAGATTATTTAAAACATACACACAATACAAATCAACTTAATATTTATTAAAAATAAGACCCTATAGTTTGTTCAGTATTTAGCTCCACTGCTGAAAAACTGCAAGCTCAAAAATAACATTTGATAGGGGCTGGCCCGGTGGCGCAGCGGTTAAGTTCGCACGTTCCGCTTCTCGGCGGCCCGGGGTTCACTGGTTCGGATCCCGGGTGCGGACATGGCACTGCTTGGCAGCCATGCTGTGGTAGGCGTCCCACGTATAAACTAGAGGAAGATGGGCACGGACGTTAGCTTAGAGCCAGGCTTCCTCAGCAAAAAGAGGAGGACTGGCAGTAGTTAGCTGAGGGCTAATCTTCCTCCAAACAAAACAAAACAAAACAAAACAAACAAACAAAAAAATATTTGATGGATAACATTTTAAATAACTTTTTTGACAAAGAAAATTCACTATAAACTGATACAGTGATGATGATTCTATCCTTATAACATAAGGAACTGTTCAAAAGGAACTGCTAAGGAAAATAGTGAAACTGCCTTTGGAGCAAAAAATAGGAGTGTACAAAAATTGAAAAATACATGTAGTGCTCACAGGCATCCTAGCTTAGAGCTATGTTTTTTTTTAAAGATTTTTTTTATTTTTTTCCCTTTTTCTCCCCAAAGCCCCCCAGTACATAGCTGTATATTCTTCGTTGTGGGTCCTTCTAGTTGTGGCATGTGGGATGCTGCCTCAGCGTGGTTTGATGAGCAGTGCCATGTCCGCGCCCAGGATTCAAACCAACGAAACACTGGGCTGCCTGCAGTGGAGTGCGCGAACTTAACCACTCGGCCACGGGGCCAGCCCCTAGAGCTATGTTTTTTACAAGCTGCACATCTCAATCCATTAACAGGACACAAATCCATTTAGCAGGTCCCAATCAATGTTAGAAAGAAAAAAAAAGAAACAAAGAATCAGAGTTCATCACTCATTGTAAAGGTAAATTACGTTTCATGAAAAATTTTTTTGTTATATGGTCCATCATTACATATGTGTAAACCAGTTAGTAATGCAAAACACTTCTTATTGTAGATTCTAGCCAAAAAACAAGCTGGAAAAACACTGGTCTGGTACAATGCTTCCCAAACTACTTATGGTAATGAACCAGGTTTTTGTCTGTTTTAAATTTCCAATCCATTGCAAACTAATACTTTTATAAAATATAGAAACCTCAAATGTGATGTCTGTGGCAATGTCAAATCACTATGAAAGTTTCTAAATGCTTTCTCTCACTTTCTGTACCTTACTACAAACTGGTACCAAAGAATTTGTGGGCCAGGACCATTCCATGGACAATACCATAGGTCCACAGGACTTCCATTTGAGATTTTTATTAGTGTCTTAGTTGGAAATACAGATGGCATGCTTATAACATCAATAAGGATATGATGCTGGGAACAATTGAGTTAATACATTTAACAGAATTAGAATCCAAGGAACCAAAAGAAAACCAAGAAACAAATGAAATTAATAGGCACGGATGCAAAATATTACAGAGATTTAAAAAGAACCCCAAACTTCAAATGTGCAGATCAGGGAGAAAAACACGCTGAAGAGCGGTTTTTGTCAAGAAGCAAAAAAAAAAAGACCACAAGTTCATTATAATTCGAATAGGCACAAGTGCCAAAAAAGCTTATCTGATTTTAGGCTTCAATAATAGAACCACAATGCTCAAAACAAAGGAGATAATATAGCCCTGCTCAATGTGACACCGCTCCTACATTCAATTTGGACCTAACTTTTAAGCAGTGGTTCTCAAAATGTGGTCCATAGACTTATAGGGTCCTTGAGACTGTTTCAGGGGGTCAGTGAGGTCAAAACTCTTTTCATAATACCACTACGGCATTATTTGCCCTTTATACTGTGTTGATATTTGCACTGATGATGCAAAAGCAATGATGGAAACAATTACTGGTGTCTTAACATAAATCAAGGCAGCGGTACCAAACTGAATACCCTTTTATGATAAAAACACTCAATGGGCTGGCCCCATGGCCGAATGGTTAAGTTCACGCGCTCTGCCTGGGTGGCCCAGGGTTTCACTGGTTTGGATCCTGGGTGCAGACATGGCACCGCTCATCAAGCCATGCTGAGGACCCACAACTAAAAATATACAACTACGTACCGGGGGGCTTTGGGAAGAAAAAGGAAAAATTAAATCTTTAAACAAACAAAAAACCCAAAAAACACTCAACAAACTAGGAGTATAGAGGAAATTCCTAAACACGATAAAGGACATTTATGAAAAATTCACACTAACATCACACTCAACGGTGAAACACTGAGAGCTTTCTCCCTTAGATCAGGAACAAGATGTCAGGTCTCTGTAGGATCCTCCCAAGGCAATTAAGGAGGGAAAAAAAAAGAAAGAAAAGGCATCCAGATGGGAAAGGAAGCAGTAAAACTATCTTTGCTTGCAGATGAAATTATCTTCTATAGAGAAAGTTCTAAGGATTTCTATAACACCAGCAGAACTAATAAGAGCTCAGCAAGGCTGCAGGATATAAGATCAATATACAAAAATCAATTGTATTTCTATAAATCTGCAATGCGCAATCTGAAAATAAATTAAGAAAATTTCACTTACGATAGTATCAAAAGGAATAAAATACCTAGGAATAAAATAATTAAAAGAACTGTAAAACATACTCTGAAAACTATAAAACACTGAGAAAAGAAATTAAAGATCTAAATAAATGGAAAAGCATCCCAAGTTCACGGACCAAAAAATTTAATATTGCTAAGATGGCAATGCTTTCCAATGCGATCTACAGAACCATCACAACCTCTATCAGAATCTGTGAAATAATAAGAAATATATATGTTAATCTCTGCCCCTGGCTCCTGTTACTGAGCTCCTAAAACCCTTGTAATTTCCTGGGTGATGGAGGTGACAGGAGTGTCTTACAAAGAGTTCCTAAATCCCTTGGAATTTCCTGGGTGATAGAAGGCCTTTTGTTCTAATGAGGTGACTCCTGGACAGCTTCAGGATGCGGCCTGGTCACCAGAAAGACCAAGCCATGATTACAAGCTTGGAAATTCCAGCCTCAAACCCCATTCTCTGGGGAGGGGTAAGGGGCTAGAGACTGAGTTAATAATCCATCATGCCTGTGTGATGAAATCTCCATAAAAATCCCTCAAGTATGGGATTTGGAGAGCTTCTGAGTTGGTGAACACAACTGTGCGCCAAGAGGGTGGCGTGCCCTGCACTTAGGACCTTTCTGACTTCACCCTACACACCTCTTCATCTGGCTGTTCATCTACATCCTTTATCATACAATAAACTGGCAAATGTAAGTGAGTGCTTCCCCGAGTTCTGTGGGCCACTCTAGCAAATTATTGAGCCCGAGGAGGGGGTCGTGAGGTGTATGAAGAGCCCAAGGAGGTACAAAGAGCATTCACATTTGCGAGTGGCCTGGCGTAGGGTGCAGGTGCATGAGCAGGGTGAGAGGGCTTCTGCACGTATGGGAGGCCTGCTGCAGGGCGGAAACTCGAGCAGGATGAGGAGGGCGTCCACAGAGCGGCAGTCTGCACTGGGCAGTAGAGCCCAAGTAGGGGAGGAGGTGTCCACTGCATGGGGTGGCCTAGTCCAGGCTGTGAGGGCCCAAATAAGGCGAGGAAGGCACTCCTATGGAGAGGCAACCCAGACTGGGGTATTGGAGCCCAACAAGAGTGAGGAGGGCACCCAGGTGGGGCAGCACCAGCATGGGAATCAGAGCTCCAGCAGAGAGACGAGGACAAACCCTACCTCACTGGAATGTTATTAGGATTAAACTGATAATATGTGTAGCACGTGAGCCCAGAGCAAGCACAGTTCAAGTGTCTGCTGTTAGTGTACGTAAAGGGCCTGGCACCACGTCAAACACGTAATACTCAACAAACGGCTGTTTACTGTAAGATTATACCACTGTACTACATCCTAAATACCTCATCTACATACAACAGCTAGTGTTTGGATGATGAGCAAAATTATTTCTAAAAATTAATTTCCCTTCAACCACTTAACAACACCTACATCCCTTTTATAACTCCACTTTTTCACCCAGACTTCCAAATTTGCTCTTGCTTAATTCTAGTTAATTTATCCTTCCGCATTCCTCTAAACTCTCTAATGCCTTTCATCCTGATGACCTTCAAGATCTTTTAACTTACATATTAGCACAAAGTCCACCATCTCCACGAACATAACACATGAAACATCTAAGTTGGCGTGAAGAGCTTAAATACTCAGTGAGCCTACAGCTGCTTCCCCACATTGGTACATAGGGAATAACCCAACATGTGTCTTATCTGCTTCATACCTGGCTTCGTTTTGGCGCATGCATGTACACCCCTAGGTAGAGTCCCATGGAAGGGGAATAAGCAAGTCGTAACTTGTGTCCAGTCCCAGCAGTGAGCCGGAGGTCTTTATTCACAGGGACGTACTCCAAAATGTCAGCCACCATCAGGCACATCTGGTCCTGCCCAAGATAAGAGTTAATTAGTAGTATCAAAGAATATTCAGGTTACAAAAACAACCCTCTTCCCCTTTTAAAGGATGCACATTCATTCTCTCTAGCACTCTCTAGTTCATCCACTGAGGGACCCTACAGATTTTTTTAAGGGCTGAGATGAAAATATCTCTTCAATCATCAACTTTTTTGTGCATCTTAAAAACTATTTTACCAACTTGCATTTTAAAAACACATTTGTCCCTCATAAGAGAATATTCTACTGTTTCAGCTCTTCTGTAGGATTCATAATTTTCGAAATAAAAAGACAAAAAAAAGTTAGGAGGAAAATGTCTAAAAAATAAAGCCAAATGAAACTGTCTAAATCTGGCAATGGCCCATAATTTCCAAACTAAGCAATCTGAAAATCTTTATGAGAAGCAGCAACATTTACTTCATTTCTCTTACAATTTACAATCCTATTTTAACTTCTAGTAACTATAAATACAGCACTTACCTTATAAGACCACATTCGTAGTTTATGGTCCTGGCACAGAGCAAAGACGAAGGCGTCGTGCTCAACACAATGAACAGCAAGACTGAGGGGACGATCTGAAGGCCCCTGATCGCCTCTAAAACACAAGGCCAAGTCTTAGAGTTGTACTCTTACAAATCACCTGATCATTAGAATTTGCAATTAAAGAGATAAAATAAAATTACAAATGTACACTCAATCAACAGAAGGAGCAACAGTTTATATGCTGGTATAAGATAATTGCATTTTCTATTTGATTTATAACCAATTACTATGATAAATTTTAAAAGGCTCTACATAACAACGGAATACTGTTCTAACCATCAAAAGCTTTCTACTTCTAATATTACACAAAATTGGATTTGGCAAGTCAGAGCAGAGCACCCAAGTGGACACTGTGAGAACATATACAGTAAGCCACTTTCTGCTGTCAGTGTCCAATCCCAAATGAAGTGGGCTCTGGAGTGTGGCTCTCCTCAGACGGAATGTGACGTTGGACAGACTCCCTTCCAGTAGAACGCTTTGGAGAAAGACTAGAAACACTAATAGGTGCTGAGCAGTGCAGAAGAATTAAACTCTTGGGGCCTTTGATTTACCTGCCAGACACCACTCACCTGATAGCTGTCGGCATCCAGCCTATAAGCAATCGCTGCATTACTGAACTCTGCTTCAGTTCCACAACTGACACCATCCCTACAAAGTGGAAAACAGACCAACGGTATCCAAGGCACCTCTTGAGGATACTCAGCGAAACCCAAAGGCAAGAAGGATGCGACATGAACAAGGTCTCTGGGACAGGTGACAGGCTTCTACATTTCTCTACTAAGCAAGTTTTAGGGTGTACCTTTGCACATATATCACACCCGAAATACTGTGAATCATTATTTGAGATATCAATAAAACTAACACTAACATATTCCTAGGGAAAATTTTTGCCATTTTACAAACAGTAACGCGTATCACTGCTCAGAAGAATCACTTCATTCTTCCAAAAGAATCTCTGGGTACCTTTTCATGTGCCAGGCGCAGTTCTAGGTGCTGGAGCTACAGCAGTAAACAAACAAAGCAAAAATCCCTGTCCTCATGGAACTTATATTCCATTGAGAGGAGAGGAAAAGCAGACAGTTAACAAATTAAGCAGAATGGTTAATAAGCGGAGAAAAATAAGACACGGAAAGGGTATATACTGAATGCTGGGGGGAGGGAGGGTGTGCAATTTTGAAAAGGGTGGTCAGGGAAGGCCCCACTGAGGGGACACTGAGTAAAGACCTAAAGGAGTCAAGGGAATGAGCAAAGCTGATAGCAAGGGAAAGACTATGCCAGGCAGAAACCTGAGGTAGCAGTGTGCCTGGTATGTTCAAGGAATTCCAAGAGGCATGCGGCTGGTGCAGAGAAGGTGAGAGGGAAAGAATGAGAAGCTGAGGTTAGGAAGGCAGGAGGGGGTCACCGTAAGCCACTGGAAGGACTTGGGTTTATTTAGAGCGAGCTGAAGAACAGCCCTCATGTGAGGGCTTTGAGCAGCGGAGTGACATGACTCATTGTGGGTTTTAAAAGTACCATCTGCCCAAGAAGTTTCTGTGGAGGGGTAAGGACAGATCTAGGGAGCTATTTGGGAAGCAAATGCAATGACCTAGGCAAGAGGCAGTGGTGACTTGCAGCAGGCTATCAGCAGCTAAACTTCCTTGTTTCAGTTAGTTTATTTTAGTTACAGTACCTCAACCAGAAGGTAGCCAACTAGTCAACTCTTCTCTACTACAGGCCTTAGGATAGCTGTCTTAAAGTTATCTTATCTCCCATATTCCAGTCAGCTTTACAGTTCCTCATCCACTCTATAAAATCCTGCCTTCTTGGGAAAAAACAGTAAAGCCGTAGGGACTCTTAAGGCAAGCAATAATGAACGACCACTTCAGGGATGGTATAGAAGCAAGTCCTGCATCGGATGACGGGTCTGGTTCTAAGGTCTGTTTTAACGCCAACACTCCTTGTTTCAAGTTAAATCACACCCAGTTCCCATTCTTACCAGGTATGTCGTAAGGAGGTAGTTTAAGAACAAAGATTCCTCCCGAAGCAGATGGCAGAGCAAACAGGGCCTCCCCATCATGGCTAAGCCAGGCTGCCGAGCTGGTAGAATTCGGGGAGAGTCCAGGTACTGCTGGAATTAACTGATAGTTGCAAGGATCCCTGAAATCAACTTTTCCAACATCAGTGAATATTGATTGCATCTGACTTTCAACTACCAACTCCTGTGGAGTAATTAAAAAGAAAAATCTGTTAAGTGAAAATAAGCTGAATTCTGCTCAGTTCCTCTCAATTGCTACAAAAGTTTTTAAAGTAAAAAATGGTCAAGCTTAAAAAGAAAACTGTTCTTTTTAATGAAAACTATTTCAACTTAAAATGTGTCTGACCATTTTAAATAGTAACTATCACAGCATGCTCTTGAAGGCTAACAAGGAATCCAAATTTCCTTCAGTTCCAAAGGATGTTGCTCCAGCACTAAATGTGTGACAGCCAGAGCCGTTTGGGGAATAAAAGATATTACACTTAACCAACTTACACTCCTATACATCCGGGAAGGGTGTGGTAAGAGTAGCCTGTGCACTGTGTGATTGGTTAGTATCAAGATTATCACGTGATTCTGAGTCTCAGAGACATGAACCCCTCCGGGTAAGAGGCTGCAATTTTGGAATTTGAGGCGAACTGCATTATTCAACAGGTTTAGGTCCAATGACTCTTCCACCAGCTCCAATGTATCTCCGGAGGTCTTCCTACAAAAAGAGAGACGTTTGTTTAAAAAGTTTATGCTTTTCGGGGCTGGCCCCGTGGCCGAGTGGTTAAGTTCGCGCGCTCCGCTGCAGGCGGCCCAGTGTTTCGTTGGTTCGAATCCTGGGCGCGGACATGGCACTGCTCATCAGATCACGCTGAGGCAGCGTCCCACATGGCACAACTAGAAGGACCCACAACAAAGAATATACAACTGTGTACCGGGGGGCTTTGGGGAGAAAAAGGGAAAAAATAAAATCTTTAAAAAAAAAAAATCTAAAAAGTTTATGCTTTTCTTTCTAATTGACCATTGCACTGAAATATACGGGAATAATTTCCTAGTGAACGCTCCCAAATTGAAAATTTTGGATAAACAAATTCAGAGCAACTTTTACAATCCAAACCAGCAAATTTTGTAGATTTTCAAAACACAGCATAAATTTCACATCTTACTATACAAGTCTCTGTTAAATGGAGGCATTTCCAAACTTGATAGTCCATTTATTTAGAACGATATTCAGTGCACTTAAACTCCACTTTTAATGAAAATTCACACCACATACCTCCATTACTTGTAGAACGTGGCCTCCACATATATTACTACAGCCTCAAACTAAGGGGGACCTTAATGAATGTGGGTATTTCCCCTTCTCTTACTTCTTCCTGCTAAGATGCAAGACAGACTCTTCTTCAGATGCAACTCTGCCATGTGGTAGTTTTGGAACCATTTAGAAAGCACCACACTGGGAATGCCCTAACTTCCCATCACCTCATTTACCTTATTACCCACATCCTTCCAGAAAGAGCAAGTCTCCTCCCAGCAGTTAAAGGCCAATCTCTGACTTTCTCAAATATATTCCTCCCGCACGTCTCTCCTTCTCCCAGAGCCTTCCATCGACATTCAAATATGCTCTTCCCTGGCCTCTCCATCACCCCATTCCAGCCTCCCATCCAGCTATCACATTTTCTTCATTCCCCTCTAGAGCCAGGCTTTCTCTATTTCCTCACCTCCCTCATCTTACCTAGGTCATCATACCAATTCCAACGGACTCTCCAGTCCTTTCTTACTTGATCTCTTAGCAGCATTCCACAGACTTCACCGTCTGTCCTTAAAACTCTCTTCTCTTGACTTCTCTGACACTATTCTCTCCGGGTTTTAGTTCCAGATCTCTGGGCATTCCCTCTCCTTCTCCTTGACCTGACCCCTGCATACTAGATATCCTCAAACCGTGATCCTGGGCCTTCTTCTCTGCTCACTGCACACATTCTCCCAAAGCACATCTTATCCACTCCCACGGCTGTTAAGCACCATTTGAGCTCTGAGGCTTCCCCAGAGCTACTCCGCTTCTGGTAACTCACGGTACGTCATCAGTACAATTTTCTGGATCAACCTCATCTCTGAACAATTGCTTAACCTTCCTACCTTATGGCTGAAGTTGAGTCCTGGATCTTCCCTGCGGACATTATCCCCCAGCGCCCTCTCTAATGGCCGCAGCTCTCTCTAGCATGCTACCTTGCAGTGGGGCCTCAGGGTAAGGCACAGATGTCCTGCTGGCTCCCAGCACCACTCCAGGCCACTGTTCCGTCCCTGCCAAAACCACTCAGCTCTGAAGCTCATGCCATCAGATACCACCTGCTACTCCTGCTCATCACAGTTATCTACAGCTGGCTCTCATTCCTTGAAGACTTTAGCTCCTGGCTCACTATCACTCTCTCTGACACTTCTCCTGCCACAATTCTGAATGATTTCAATATCCATGTTTTTTCTAATACCGCACTTTTGCGGTTTCTTTAATTCCTCTTCTCTAGTGGTTGCCCTTGACTGCACACAAGTAGACTGTCATATTTTCTCTACGCTCCTCCATTGCCGTCCTGCTACCATTGGATTTCTCTGCTTCCCTTATAGGATTGCTCCTCGACAGCTCTATATGCACAATTCCTCTCTTCTTTTTTTTTTTCAAGATTTTCTTTTTTCTTTTTCCTTCTTCTCCCCAAAGCCCCCCAGTACATAGTTGCATATTTTAATTGTGGGTCCTTCTGGTTGTGCTATGTGGGATGCCGTCTCAGCGTGGCCTTATGAGCGGTGCCATGTCTGCGCCCAGGATCCGAAGCAGAGCACGTGAACCTAACCACTCGGCCATGGGCCCGGCCCCTCATCTTCTCTTTTGAACCCACTCCACTTGGGCTTTTGCACCACTATTGGAGCAGTTCCTGACGAGGTCACCAAGGACCTACACAACGCAGAGGTCAATGTTCTTATGTCTGATCCACATGCAGCATTTACCAGTTTTTCACTCTCCTTCTTGAAATATTTCCCTCAGCTTCTGGGACACCACTCTCTTTCTGTTCAACTCTTACCTCACTAGCTACTCCTCAGCCTCCTTTGCTGGCTCCTCATCTTCCTAAATACTGGAGTGCTCCAGGGTTCAGTCTTCCGCCCTCTTCTCTTCCCTCCACAAGTGGTTCTCATCTGGGGGCCGTTCTGCCCCACTCCCCAAGGACATAAAGCAGTATCTGGAGAGATTCTTGCTTGTCACGCTGGTAGGGGTGGGTGGGTGGGTGGTTACTATTGGTATGTAGTGGGTAGAGGCCAGAGATGCTGCTCAACACCCTATAATGTACAGAACAGCCCCCCACAACAAAGACTTATCTGGTCCCAAATGCCGACAGTGCAGAGGCTGAGAAATCCTGATTTATACTCATTCTATAGGTGATCTTATTCAGTATAACACCTCTGAACGCCATCTAATGCCAACAATTCCCAAATCTGTATCTTCAGCCCAAACTCTCCACAGAACTCCTGATGACTGCCTCAGCACTTCCACCTGGATATCTGACTATCTCAAACTAATCCTGTCCAAAACAGAATTCCTGGACCCAGCAAACCCAAAAAACAAAGAAACAAAACTACCTGCTTACCTGGGCTCTTTTCCAACTGAATTAATGGCTTCTTTATAACTTCTGGTTGCTTGAGGCAAAAATCTGGGGGTCGCCCTTGACTCTTCTTTCTGTATACCCCACATCTGATCCAACAGTAAATTCTAACACATTCACCTTCAAAACACATCCACACTCAGAACATTTCTCACTGCTTCTACCAACACCACCCTGGTCTAAGCCGCCACCATCTCTTGTCTGGATTGTGGCACCAACCTTCTAACTGGTCTCCTTTCTCCCACCCTTTTCCCACTACACTCTCTTCTCAACCCACAGTCACAGCAATCCTTTAAAAACACAAGTAGATCATGTCGTTTCTCCACTTACAATCCTCCCATCTTACTCAGAGTAAAACCCAAAGCCTTAAAATGACCGACAAAGCCCTGATCTGGCCCTTGGCTACGTTTCCTATTATCCTACTCTTTCTTCACTCAGCTGCAGACACCTGTACCCTTGTCATTCTTTGAACATGACAAACAAGCTCCTGTCTCAGAGTTCTTTGCACTTTTTCTTCCTTTTTCTTGGAAGTTTCTGCCTGATATTCTTGTGCCCCAAATATCCTTACTTCCTCTGCTCAAATGTCAACTTATCCCAGGGTATTGCCCGCCTAACCCATATAAAATATTAACTCCCACAGGTATCCCCCTTCCCTCGTACCTTGCTTCCCCGTTCTCTATTCCACTTATCACCTGACAAACTACATTTCTTTGGTTTCTTCGGTTATTGTTGTTTACTGCTTGTCTCCCTCCACAAGAGCAGGGACTTTGTCAGCTTTGTCCCTCCCATATTCCCAGTCCCTAAGCATTAACTAGACTACACCAGGCACTCAAAAATATTTCTTAAATGAGATTTGTATCTCTAACATAGGTCTTTCTTCTGAGCCTCAGACCTGTAAATTTCTTTCTTTTTCATTTTTTTAAAGATTGGCACCTGAGCTAGCATCTGTTGCCAATCTTCTTTTTTTCTCTTCTCCCCAAAGCCCCCTAGTACACAGTTGTATATTTTAGTCATAGGTCCTTCTAGTTCTGCTATGTGGGATGCCACCTCAGCATGGCTTGATGTGCAATACCACGTCTGCACCCAGGATTCGAACCGGCCAAACCCTGGGCTGTTGAAGTGGGTGCCCGAACTTAACCACTTGGCCACGGGGCCAGCCCCAGGCCTGTAAATTTCAACACCTATATGACATTGCCAAAGGGCTGCTACAGATACTTCAAATTTAGTATGTCTAAAAGAATTATTCACATCTCTCCAAAACCAATCTTCTATATCTCAGTAAATGGCAACCCCTCTGCCCAGTATCTGGTTAGTCATACTAGAAACCAGGGAGTTATCCTTGCTCCCTCCTTTTTCCTTACCATCCCCCTCCCCATTCATACCCCTTCCCATTCATATTCACTCTATCACCAAGTCCTAGTGAATCTGCCTTCTTTTTCAATTTTTTTTTTTTTGAGGAAGATTAGCCCTGTGCTAACATCTGCTGCCAATTCTCCTCTTTTTGCTGAGGAAGACTGGCCCTGAGCTAACATCCATGCCCATCTTCCTCTACTTTATATGTGGGACGCCTACCACAGCATGGCTTGCCAAGCGGTGCCATGTCCGCACCTGGGATCCAAACCGGCAAACCCCGGGCCACCGAAGCAGAATGTGTGCACTTAACCGCTGCGCCACTGGGCTGGCCCCTGAATCTACCTTCTAAATGTATCTTGAATCCATCTATTTCTCTTTTCCTAGCCACTCCCACAATTGGATCACCAGCATCTCTTACTAGGGCCATCATAAAAGCAAACTCTTCTTTTGTATTATAGCCATAAAACTCAAATCCACTTTCCACAAAGTAGACTGACTCTTCTAAATGCAATTTTGATCACGTTAGTAAGCTTTTAAGACCTTTTAATGATTGCTCAATGTACTTTGGCTAAAATCCAAAAACCTTAAAAGGGATCTAAGGGTCCTCCATGATCTGAGTTCGGCCTACCCCCCCCTCCGCCCCACCCGCCCCCCCGTCTCAGCATCTGTCACATCACTTTTCATTTTACCCACTGCACTTCAGCCACACAGACCTTCAGTCAGTTTCTCAAACCTGTCAAGTTCTTTCCACCTCATGGACTTTGCATATGGTGATCCCACTTGCTGAACTGCTCTCCCCCCCCAACCCCCTGCCTGGCTAACTTTTCATCCTTCAGATTTGGGGTTAAATGTGACTTCCTCAAAGTCCTTCCCAGCCCCCACTAATAATATTTGGTCCTCCCATTATCCTCTCATAAGCCCTACACTTCTCCTCTGAGGCAAATATCAAAAACTTGTATTTATATCTATGTTGTGGTCATTAGTTCTTTTTCCTTCTTAACTGTCCCATGAAAGGCGAGTCAGTATCTATTATTACACTGCTACATCTTGCACGAGGAAAATAGTGGGTGATTTTGTTCATTACTTCCTCCCTGACACACCTTGCACAGCGCCTGACCTGTAAAAGCTCAAACATAACTGTAAAGGAAGGAAGCCGTAAAGCACTACAAAATCATAATGGGTTCATGTTCAAAACTGGTCTTTAGGGCTTTAGCCTCTAAGCCACATTTCCTCTGCTTTTAGTGCTGCCTGGGAGGGTATCTCTCCTAGAACTGTGTCTCCTTAATTTTCTCGTGGTTCAGATATGAACAGAAGGCAGTCTTTCTCTTTTCCTGTCGATTACCGCTTTGGAGAATGACACCTGGGGAACAGCCAAGAAAATTCAAACGCCGAACAACCCTCCCTTCCATGGGGGTTTGGCGAACACAGTACTTACCAATGAATGAACCTGTTTCTGGTGACGGAGAACAGCTTGCCGCTTTCCACATAGTAGAAGCCTCCCGCGCTCTCACTGTATTTGACTGCGCCGGCCAATGCATTTGCAGTCCCTGCAAAAGGAGAGGGGTCAGCCTGCACACGTGGTTTTGGGGGACGACAGGGGCTGATGGCGCTGAGAAAGCAGAAGGTGACAGATGGACAATCCACGCAAAAAGAAGGGGAAGAAAAAAGGAAGTAGGACACTCCCGGGACTATAAGCATGTGGATTCAGGAAGATGAACTGGGGGTCAGAGATTTAGGGACCCACCGGGGGAGCCCGAGGGAAAGGATTGGATCGCGCCCCCCTTGGCTGCTCCCCTACCAACGCCGCAAACGGTGAATTCTCGAAAGTGTCTCGGCCTTTCGCGCTCAGCTCCGCTCAGCTCCACGAAGCTCCGTTCTATGGCTCCCGCCGCCGCCATCTTCCCGCCGCCGCCGCAAGGCCCGACGGGACACCAGCAGGCCGGGCGGCTGTCGTCACTTCCGGGGCGGGGCGGCGGAGACGCGGACTGTGAAGGATCCGGGCGAGGAGGAGGGCGGGCCCGGCCCGTCGCCGGGAGCCTGCAGTCGCGTTGGCTGGGGAGTGAGGGTCGGCAGCTGGGAAGCCAGAGGAGGAAGGGGCTGGGGGAGCCGGCTCTCCCTGCGGGAACCTTCCCGCAGCGGGCTAGGAGGCCTCCGGGGGCGGTGCCCTCAGGAAGGGGGCGGAGCCGGGCTTGTGTCTGTTCGAAAACACGCGCGGGCGGCGGCTGAGCCTCCCGGGAGGGGCGGGTCCGGGGAGCCGGGCCGGTGGGCGCCCTCTGCAGGACTCCGAGATTGCCGGCGCCTCTCCCTGCGTCGGTGTGTCGCTCTGCGAATCTTCGCCGGGTCTCCTTTTCTTCACCCTTCAGCGACACGTGGGATGGGGGGAATGAAGAGGAGAGGGGCCCTCTGTGTTGGAATTCTTGTGTGATGAATTCCATATTCTCGTGTAGTGATGAGTTCAATAAAACATTGAATGTGCAGCCTGCTGAGATTCCCTAAATGCTTCTCCCTTGCGTACGTGAAAGGAATTTGCCTGTCGTTCCACCCGTGGTCTGGATGTTTGGAAGATACTGCGGCTTTACGCATGTCGAGGGCCTAGTAGATGCTCAATATTGAGGAAAATGCTAATTTCCAGGGGGAAAGGTTTTTTTTTTTCCTTGATGGTCACCGTTTGTTAAGCACTGCTCTTATCCTTGTTATTACCAGTGACTGCAACCGTTCTGTGTCCTCTGTTTCATTCCTCCTGTTCTGACCGACCACTCTCCCCTATCTTTCCAGCTCCCTCCTTCTAGGACACCAACTCGAGCAGTGCCTTACCTCCATCCCACTGATAAATAAATGAAAAGCAATAGGATATATTGAAGTATATGAGGAAGCCATTTGGTTTAAAACTGATTTAGCCTGACCTTGTTCTACCGAAAGGGCCTGATGTGGCCTGTTGAGCATGCATTGTACGTCTGCTTTAAATATTTACTATGGCCCAAGGACAAGAATGATGCCCCTAAAGATAGGGATGTAACCTCCCCTGTAGCAGCATTTCCTTTAGGATCAGCATCTCTCCCTAAACTAAGGATTAATTACTGACCTGCTGTGCTCACCTTGTGACCACTCACCTTGTGACCACTGAACTGCTGTGCTCATCCATCTGCTGTGCCAGTGCGGCATCTTGTGACAGTTGTAAAAGGGACATTCCTATCGTATGTGATCTATGTTCTTTGTTCCAAGTTGGTATATAACCACTCTGTGCACCCCACCTCTTTGGTGCCCTTTCCTTAGGGAAGGACGGCCCCAGGCTAGTCCTCAGGTCTGGCTTATAATAAACTCACCCCTATTTTGATTTATAGATTGATTATGGATTATTTGCATCAACACCACCTACAATCCATTGTTCCTACCACCTTTTCACTGTCCCTCACTTCCTTGATGTTTCCTTTTTGCTCTGCTTAAATTTAAATTACTCCCTTGCCTGGCTCTCTGTCTTCATCATATCTGGTAAAAACCACAACTTCGATTAACTCCGAATCGGGAGCAGAAAATGCCTGGAGGAAAATATACAGCTGTACTGACATGCCTCCCTCTACCTCCATCATCACTCTGAACCTTGAATGGGCCCATAAAGCTGCCCAGGAGACATTGTAACACTTTGTATTTTCCTTGTCTGTTTTCCCAGATGAGTATTTCACAGCTCCTCTAACCTGCAACACCTACATCCTTATCTTCACTCTCAGCTTGTTTCTTCACTTAGTAAATTGATGCAATCAAAAGAGAATTTCCCTCACGACCACATCTCCCTCCCTCCCAGCCTCTGTACCCACATACTCTGCTTTCTTTTCCTGTTACTATAAATTGAACTGTTTTGCATAAGCAAAAACAACCTTTCTGCTTTTCCCCTGATCACCTGCTCAAAGACATCATTCCAGCAATTCCCTCCTCCTCCATCTTCAAATTTTCCCTCTTTTTACTGACTTGTTTCTCTAAGCGTACAAACATGCTGTTTTTTTCTCCTCCCCACCGCAAACAATCCTCATTTGATCTCCAGTCTCTTCAGCTACTACCTACTACTTCAGGGCTCCTCCCCACCTTTACAGCAAAATTCAAGAGCATTCTAGTTTCTCTCCTTTCTCTCTCTCTCTTTTTTTCCTGAGGAAGATTAGCCCTGAGCTAACATCTGTTGCCAGTCTTCCTCCTTTTTTTTCTGAGGAAGATTAGCCCTGAGCTAACATCTGTGCCAATCTTCCTCCACTTTATATGTGGGTTGTGGCTACAGCACGGCTGATGCGTGGTGAAACTCTGCACCTGGGATCTGAACCTGTGAACCCAGGCCACCAAAGCGGAGGACGCTGAACTTAACCACTACACCACAAGGCCAGCCCCTCTCCTTCTCTCTTAAACCTACTTTTTTTCTGGCTTTTGCTCCTACTGTTCTGCTGAAATGGCTTTTTTCAAGGTCACCAAGGACATCCACGTTACTACGAGTATGTCTCACACTGAATTCTCATTCCTGCACTTGCTTGACCCCTGCAGCATTTGACTGATTGATTGCTGTCTTGACCACTTTCCTCATGTGGCTTCTGAGACACCACACTCTCAATTCCTCCCATTTCACTGACTGTGGCTTTTCAGACTCTTTTGCTAGTGGCTTCTCTTTCCCCCAACCTCTTACTGTTGGAGTGCCCCAGAGCTCAGTTCTTCATCCTGGCTACACACACTCCCTTGAGGATTTCGTCCAGTCTTCTGGCTTTAAATACTAGATTGCCATATGCTTATAATTTCCAAATACATATCTCCAGTCCAAACCTTTCCCCTGAATGCCTGCCTATTCCATATCTTAGATTTAATGTGCCTAAAATGGAAGTCCTATCATGTCAAAAACTGAAGTCCTGATCTCCCCCCACCACTCACTCCTCCCACTTACTCCTCACTTATCGGCATCCTTCCAATTGCTCAAGCAAAAATCCCTGGAGTAATTTTTGAATCCTCTTTTTTTCTTACCTTATGGCCAATCAGTCAGGAGATCCCATTACTCTTCCTTCAAAGTAGATCCAAAATCCGACTGCTTCTCACTTCCCGCTGCCGTCGCCCTGGTCCAAGCTACCAACAGCTCACCTGGATTATTGTAAATTGCTCCCCTGCTCTCTACTCCTCATCTGCCACCTCTACTAGACTCGACGCTCCAGGAATCGTGCCGGGCACAAACAAGGCATTCAGTAGATATTTGATGAATGAGTGAGTGAATGAATGAAATAGTCCAGGCAAGAGTTGATGAGGCCCTGAGTGGCGTGGAGAGGAAGGGAGAAGATTTGAAGTGACAAGAGATTTTCACATATTGAGGCTTATGGGGTACCTATTCGAGTTCAAAACTGAACTAAAGAAGCCTGACTTATAGCCTCAAACATACATTGTATGTCTGCTTTAACCATTAAACAACGCTCTCTCTTAAAATAAGAATACATACTTTCTCACCTACGTCCTGTTGGCAACGTCCACATTAGTCCCTTTCCTGACAACAGGGTCGTGTTGACTTGCTAATTTGCCACTGAATACCTCTTTGAAACTTTGATGAATATGTATCCTGGGTATGTTTGATGTATGTTCTTTGTTCTAAAAACATGTAAGACTAGGGGCCAGCCCGGTGGTGTAGTGGTTAAGTTCGCATGCTCAGCTTTGGTGGCCTGGGGTTCGCTGGTTCAGATCCTGGGCGCAGACCTGCACACCATTCATCAAGCCATGCTATGGACGCATCCCACATACAAAGTAGAGGAAGATTGGCACATGTGTTAGCTCAGGGCCAATCTTCCTTACTAAATAAAATAAAATAAAATAAAAATAAAAAGGTATAAGACTGTACTGAAAACCATGCTTCTTGGGAATGCTTTCTTCCTTTCTGGAAAAGGCCTTTCCGGGTTATAATCCTCACCCTCACTCGAGTAAAACTCACCTATCTCTCTTATCTATAGAACGGTTATTGGTTATTGGAATATTTAGGAGGTAAAATCGGTGGCATCTGGTGAGTTAGGGTGAAAGTGAGAGAGAGGGCCAAGTCTAGGATGACTCCTATGTTTTTGTCTTGACAACTAGGTGAATGGCAGGTGCATAAATGGATGGGAACAGTGGAAGAGGAGCAGGTCTGGGGAATGGGGAAGAAAGCTGACTTGTATTTCCTTGTAGGAACAATCAATATTGGTAATAAAGGTTCTAATGTTGCTGAATGAAAATGCTGCATTATTGAACAGAACTACCATTGAAAAGATTTTTCCTGAATCAGGAGTTCAAGCTCCTGAGATTGTACTGTTTCTCTCTCACTGAAAGTACTATATACTCTCTGTAAGTGAGAATGGCATTATGTTTTGTTTTGTTTTTACAGACTTTAACTATTATTAGTTACTAAGTTATCACTGATCATGACACAGCAGTATGTGACACACCACAGTTGAAAGTACTACTCTGGGGGCTAGGCCGGTGATGTAGTGGTTAAATTCACATGCTCTGCTTTGGTGGCCCAGGGTTCACACGTTCGGATCCTGGGTGCAGACCTAGCCCTGCTCATCAAGCCATGCTGTGGTGGTGTCCCACATACAAAATAGAGGAAGACTGGCACAAATGTTAGCTCAGCAACGATCTTCCTCAAACAAGAAGAGGAAGATTGACAACAGATGTTAGCTCAGCAGCAATCTTCCTCCAGCAAAAAAGAGGAAGATTGGCAACAGAGGTTAGCTCAGGGCCAATCTTCCTCACCAAAAAAAAAAAGTACTATTTTGAAGACTATTTCCAAATTCATATCTAGAGGTCAGACCTCCTTCCTGAGCATTCAGGCTTTATCTTCAACTGCCTCCTAACATCACTGGGATTTGCCACAGACACCTCAAACTCAACATATCCAAAACTTAACTCGTTTTCTCCCATTCTACACTCTCATTTAATTCTCTATCTGTGTGCCTATCTCTACCCAGTGGCCCAATCTGGAAATCTAGGAATCATCCTGGATTTTTCTTTCTTACTCCCAAAGTCCAAATCTCGTGTTTCTGTATGACAGATTAAAGATGAGCACAAATTGTTCAACATTCCTTCCATCCAGGAATGGAGTCTTGGTCCTCTCTTCTTGAATCTGGGAGGGCTCTGTGATTGCTATAAGCAATAAAACACAGCAGGAGTGACAGCGTGCCAGGCTAGCCTTAAGAAAGTCTACTTCTCTCTTGCAACACTGACCATGGGGGAAGCCATCTAATAAATTCAACTATCCTGGGGTTGCCATCCTGGAGGGATCAGGGAGAGACCACATGCAAAGGCCCTGGGGCTACATAAAGTGAGAGAGGCCTGGTGAGTCCTCGGCTGTTCTAGCCCCAGTAATTTGTGTGGTCTCAGCTGAGGCCCCAGATATCTTGTGAAGCAGAGACAAGCCATCCCCACAGAGCCCTGTCTAAATTGCAGATTCATGAGTGACATGTATGATCGC